AGCTCTTAACTAGCGGGGCTGTATTACGCACATACTTGTCTAACAAGATGTCCACAAAAGACAAGAGATTCCAGATGAAAGGGGTGGGAGATACGATAGCACCTGGAATACCTGCCCAAAAGCAACAGAACTGAAAATCAAACAACCATCAAAATAGTAAAGAGCCCGCACAGGGCAAAGGGCTGCAAATATCCCAGGCAATTTGAATACAGATTTGTATACAGAAGATGTTTGTTTTTGAAAGCAGGAAATCAATTCTAAAATAATAGGTTTGACATATTCATATTCTAAAGCCACCCCTTAATCTGGCTATCTAAAACTGGGGCTGGATCAAAATAGAACACATTTCTGAGCACAGAAGCAATGGGAGATGAAACTGAAGGCTGGGGAAAAAAATATTTGCCTGGATCCACATCATATGTACTGAAATAATTGTACTGAAAATAGTAACACACAAGCCTGCTGTCACAGGCCACTCAGTTGTGATAGCTAACCAGAACCCATTCAAAATGTAATATATATTTATTGTGGACCATCAAAATAATTGGAAATGTCACAACTGAAAAATACTTACTCCTTTCCCTTTTCAAGGAAAAACATTTCCTATTTTTGTTAATACAGATACACAAGGAAACCCTGAGTCAACATATTCATTTATAAAACAGAAGGTTAATAACAATATACAGTGCCTCTGTCTCACAGTCACATAGTGATAGCATAGCTTTAGTGTTTTCTGCCAAAAAAAGCAACAATAATAAATTTTTAAACAAAACTTTGCCTTCCATACAATTCCATAACAATTTTATGAAAATGATAAGCTTACCTGGAAATTACTGTATATATCAGGAAAATAAATTAATAATCAAATAAATAATTTTTCAAAATCATGCAATCACATTAAAAATAATTGGATTGAAGCATATTGTCCCAGGGCGCTAGTCAGATTACTCTTCAAATGCAGTGAAGGTTTTCAATGAGGCATTGTAACCAACAACAGCTCTTTTAATAGCTTGTTCTGACCCAGTAAGAAATAAACAAATGGTAAGTTCAGAAACTGCAGTTAAAATAGTATCCAGCTTTCATAATAAAGTTTTCCTCTAAGCTTGCATCCATACATGTCTGTCAGCTGATTAAAAAATAAAAGTTTACACTACTTGTGTTGAACATTTAATTAAGGATTAGAATTTGTGGTCTAATACAAACAAGGCTGAGCTCTTCTCTGTTTTAGGAAAAACAGCTTAACACTGAGCTTTTCCTTCAAGCACAAAACCCTGTTCATTTTCTCTGATAATTTTAAGCAGAAGACTATAAAAGGAAATGGGGCCTTATAAACAAAGGCAAAGAATTAAAGATGCTACGTCTGAAAAATTTTCAAAAAGTCCAAGAGGAGACTCGGTAACTGTATACTGTCTTCACAATGTCATGTTAAGTTTTGGTTTATTTTCAACAAAATTATGCCTTTTCTTTAGCAAGCTTAATTATTATACAATATATTCAGGGTTATAGTGGGATTACTTACAAATGTGCAACACATGACGTCCTATGCATGCTGATTTTTTGTTGTGTGACTAAAGTATGTAATATCCAAATGCCTCAACTCAACAGTTCCCAACTCTAGTATTTGTTCATCAGACATCAGACAGCAAAATTCAGAACTACAAGATGGCAGGTATATCGAAAATGAATGTGTCTGTTGAGTCACACTATTTGTGATCAGTACCAAATTTTGAGTTTCAGAACTGCCTTCATTCACTTACTGTATATTGCCTGATTGGGACCAAATGAGTTTCTGCCGATGGTATAAAACCTCATTGCAGGAACTGTCTACTACAGTGACATTCCCACCCTTGTCTATCAGAACTTGATCACCTTCAAAGGGCTGTTTAGTGAGAAATAATGGTACAGTAAGTGAGTTGAAAAGATACTGCTTACATTATTATCACACAACTGGAGGGCAAAAGCCTCTTATCCCCAGGAAGCTGGCAGGACTTTTAGCCATCTGAGTCTGCACACACGAAGTAGAACATACCTGGGTTTGTCAGGCACCGAGTCTGTTAGGAGATTATAACAGGCCTCTGGACATTGGAAAGAAAACCACAGTGGAAAGAAAAACACCCAGGAGGGATATTTTATGCTAGCAACGGACTTCACCACACACAAACACTCACACTTAAACATAAACTCGTGAAAACGGGACTTTCTGCTCTCTAGTGGCAGGTCAGCTGAAACTACTAGGCTAATTACTGCTGGCTTGCCCCACGTCGTCGAAATTGTTATTTTGCTTATAGAAATTAAACACTGCAAAGTTAATACAGTCAATATCATACATTGTTTCTTTTTGGGTAATCCCATGCATAGCTTGGATCATAATAGAACAAAAAAAGCCAACTCAGTGATGGGACCCCAGTCCATCGCAGGGCAGACACACTGGCTCAGACATGCATACACCCAGACCCGGCCCAGTTTTCCCAGGAGATAATTAACCTAGCAGTAGGTCTTTGGACAGTGGGAAGAAACCAGAGCACCCAGACGAAACCCATTCAGACACAGGGAGAACATACCAACTCTACACAGATAGCAACCCAGGAATTGAACCCAGGGCCCCAGTGCTGTAAGGTGGAAATGCTAACCACTGCGTCACCATGTATTATTGCTTGAGCCAATAACTGCATGAAGTCTGCGACCCATTGAACTCAAAACGCCTTGTATAAGCATGTGTGTTGCTTGACTGCATCAACTTCACATTTTTTGCTTAAGATTAGGGTGTTCTGGCAATACTTTTTTCTTCGGCAAGTAAGATGAATGCATGCTCATTTGAATTTAAATCAGGAGATTGGCTTGGTCAGCGTACGGTTTTCCACATTTTTCTTCTCATGAACCTCCCAAATGAACACATGATTGCACTGACCATATGATTGGGGTTAGGCGTTATGCTATATAATGAAGTGCCATCCAACAACTACCAAATTATTTTCTTCTAAACATAAGAATTCCTTCTGAACGTATCTGCCAGTGTAAACAGTCTTCATTTCAACCACAGTCCTAGTCCTCCCTGGGTGTAGTCCTCCCTGGTGGGGTAGTCCTCTAGGATTGCTCAAACATCTGCCCCATCCCTCAGGAACACAGAGGGCCTGAACTCATTCCCCAGCTATAGGGAATCTATAAGCAGGCTGGCAAGACATTGGACCATGACCAGTCCTGAAGGTTTGCCAGTCTTTACTTGGGAGGTGAAAGGCGAGCAGTTGTTGGGTAGGACATGTGATGAGGTGCTTGTTTCTCAAGTCTGGTGATTCCCTAACTTGAGCCCAGCTGGAGTCTTGTTAAGGAAGGGTTTTAGTAATTCTTGAAGGCATATGCATCTTTGATGGATTAAATATGTCCTTGTGTAGGAGCAGGTGAGAAACGTTTTGGATCCTTTGGAGCATTGTGAGGGATTATTGCGAGTCCACAGATGTGTGGAGGAGTGATGTTTGCAAGGACAGGGAGTCAGGGAAGTGGAGCGGAGAGCTCCAGTCATGATGCACATGGTTGCATTCAGCTGGGTGTCTACTCTGTGAGTCTGTGTTTATCCTGACCAGACTGGGGCACAGCATTCTGGAGCTGAGCTGAGGTCGAAAGTTGAGCTTTTCTGTATCTTTTGCATCATGGCTATAATAATAATAATTTCGTACACTTACATAGTGCTTTTCTGGATACTCCACTCAAAGCGCTTTACAGGTAATGGGGACTCCCCTCCACCACCACCAACGTGCAGTCCCACCTGGATGATGCAACAGCAGCCATAATGGACCAGTATGATCACCACAAACCAGCCATCAGTAGAGAGGAGAAGAGAGTAATGAAGCCAATTCATAGATGGGGATTATTAGGAGGCCATGAGTGATAAAGGCCAATGGGAAATCTAGCCAGGACGCTGGGATTACACCCCTACTCTTTTCGAGAAAAGCCCTGGGATTTTTAATGACCAGAGAGAGTCAAGAACTTGGTTTTACATCTCATCCAAAGGACGGCACCTTTTTTTTTTACAGTATAGTGGCCCTGCCACTATACTGGGACATTAGGACCCACACATACTGCAGGGTGAGAGTCCCCATCTGGCCCCACTAACACCACTTCCAGCAGCAACTTTAGTTTTCCCAGGAGGTCTATCCATCCAGGTACTAACGAGACTGACACCTGCTGAGGCTTCAGTGGGCTGCCAGGTGTGAAGTGCAGGGTGATATGACTACTGTAAAGTGTTTATTTATTTTACTGGGAAAGAAGCTTTGAGGTATACACTCCAGTTCAGAGGGGTCCTGGCACGACGAGGCAGCAAATACAATCTAGAATGTGTTAAAACAAATCTATCCTCTAATCTCATCTATCTCAGGTAAAATACACCAGCAAAGCTAAGCTGTGAATCAATGGTGTCCTGAAATAAGACATATTAAGCAGAGGAATGTCCTTATCAACAAACTGCAGATGCAGGAGTGGTGCAGAGCAGAAGAGGTTTCTAAACAAAGGCATGACCCAGAAAATCCATTATAACATTCTGTGGGTTCCATCACTTCAAAGCACGTCTTCCAGCTGGACACGGACAAGGAACAAGGAACAAAATTAAAACCCCAAGCCTGATGGTGCATTTGTACAGGAACAGCTGATAAGGTTTTTCTTGTCAAAGGTGGATTATATTCCCATAAAAGATGGTTGACGGAAGTAAACGTAAAACCTTAAATAAATGATGCCCACCGAGTGCCCATCCGCCTGTATGAGCAGGCGCTTACTCAATTAACAAGCATAAAGGTGCTGTCAATTAAATTTTTGGACCTGAAATTGGGAGCACAGTAGCTTATACTGTACCTCCGTGGTGTATCCAACAGCTCGCCACAGTAACAGCCTGTCCAAACTGGTAAAACAGTTGCAAGGATAAATATAGCAAGGGCAACATCAGCAAATAATTGTGTTTGTTTCAAGGCATTGGCTATCTCGACTTACGCGGTTGGTTGGCAATAACAGCCTGCTAAAAGTAGAAAGCACTGTCATCGTAGCGTCCTAGACTTGACTCATCGTTAAGGAAATATAACACATAATCAAGTTGCAAAGTCGCTCTATGAAGGTAAGAGAATGACGCTACTTCTCCGACACGTGTTTAATTCTTACTTTACTGGGTCAAGAGATGTTTTTAAATTTCAGTTACGCGGAGCGCAACTTGACGCAGGTATCCGATTAAACGGGTTTAAAACAGTTCGTATTGCCTTGTAGATATCTGCTTTACTGTTTAGCAGAATCTGAATAATCTTGATCAGGCTCTCCGTTTAATTGATGCAATTAACATGAATTAAAGTTGATGTAAAATATTTGGCTGACTAAGTTGTTTTTCTACAGTTAGTACCCTGAAGATGACGGTGACTTACTCCAGTAAAGTAGCCAACGCCACGTTCTTCGGTTTTCACAGATTGCTTCTGCGATGGAAAGGCAGCATCTATAAACTGCTCTATCGAGAGTTCACCGTTTTCGTTGTGCTGTACAGTGTCCTCAGCATCGTATACAGGTAATTCTTTTTGCATGGGACAAATCATCAACATTTAAATGACCCCTTGATGGGTGTAATTTTTATTTTTGTTTTATCGATCGCTTTGAAATCGGCTAAAAATAGACTGATATAAGGTTTCTGCTCCGTTGACATGATGCTTTCATTCAGAACTTTGATTTGAAAACCAAATGTTTAGTTGTTTTGATTGGAGACGTAATAAATTCTACCTTTTTAACTCACCTTCATTGAGTGTGAATTGTAGGCATGATCGGCACCAAGTGTAACTAGATTATGCACTCTGGATTCATGGTAAACCTAAAGGTATTAGGTGTAAAAATGTATTACTAATTTATCTAACAAAAAACAGAACAGAAAGCATGGCCAAGAATCTTACGCATGTGCCAGTTTTAAGGCTTTTTTAAACAGTTTTTTTTAGGTTAAGAACTGCACTGCAGAAAAAGCTAATCCATTAGTAAGGCCTTGTTGGTATTTTTTAATGAATGAGAAATTAAAAAGAGGGAGGGGAATCTGAGATTCTGGGGGAGATTAGATGCAAATATTTACTTTATCCTTATAATACAAAATTTCCACCCCCACCCCCACTTGTGCCTTAATGGTGGTCCAGTTCTGCTGAGATCTGCTTTGTTTGCTTTACCTGCTGTGAGTACGAGTCATATTGGTATGAACTGTTCTTGGAAAAAAAGTGTCCCAAACATCTATTTCTATCCACTCTAGATTCTTTCTTTCAGAAACTCAAAAACGTTACTTTGAAAAGTTGTCTCTTTACTGCGATAAATACGCTGAGCAAATTCCAGTAACGTTTGTGCTAGGTAAGTAAATTGTCCCGGAGGCACACGTGCACAAAGACAGCTGCCTGCGGTCTTTGAATTAGCACAGCTGACATTGCATGAGGCTGTTGCGGTGAAGCATTAGGTCACAAAGAGCAGATACACACTTGGTTCTGTTTATGCTTCTTGGCGTTTGGGTGTGAGGCTGCGTATTTGATATATCATTGCCTAACATTTTGTAGACCAGGATTTTTGTCTTCCTCTTCTTGCTTTTTCTCAAGCCTTCTTTCTGCCTCGGCTGTTTTTACAACCTAAAGTCTAAGGGCCCAGTTTTCAGAGCTGCTGCCAAATATACCCCAGCATTAATTACCCCTGCCTTAAACGTCCTTAGGTACTTATTGTTAAGCTCTGTATGGGGAGTTACTCATAGGCCACACAGACAGCTCATAAATAATGAAACAGTGCCACGCAACATACCCCGTCTTAAGATTTTTTTTCATATGGAACAACACAGGTGCAGACACAGCAATGTAAAAACATACATGCAGTTGAAAAACATCTTAGTGAAGGTCTGGAAATCAGACTACTGAATTGACATAAATACACAAGGATGACATTGCTTATTCTGATGATGAGATCTTATTTGTTGGAGCAGAGGGAGACTAGTTTCATTAAGTTTTATTGTCAGTTGGTCTCAATTGATACAGCCCTATTCTCAGCAAAGTTCTGGTCAGCAGGAAAGTAATGTTGTCTTTGCCTTTAACTTGCTCTCCATTAGACATTCCTCTGCTGCAAGTATCACGGGTTCTCAAAAGGAAACAGGTGATATATTGTGGCACATCCATTACTACAACACACAGGATAAGAAGGGAGATAAACACAAATACATGCATTGGACACTATAAAGATCACCTAAAACTGTTATGTTAAACCAATAAGCCTCAAATAAAATAAATCTGGCACTCCTGTAGGTGCATTGGGTCTTGTAGTTGAGACATATGTACATTGGCTCTACAAAATATCTGTGCACCAAATGTACACATACTGATTGGAACCACTGTGCATCCCTTCTGTGCTTCACAGTTTTCGGTGGCAGATCCCTGCTTTCAATTTTGTGTTTCTGGAAGTGTCTGTGTAAGGGGAATGACTTATTATATCTGTCTGTTTCTTCTTTTCCTGCTTATCTTTTGCTCCATTGCAAAATTTGCGACATTTCCCTAAGCTCCTCAGGATGACACAAACAGCACATTGTCTGAATACTCTTTGTTCAGTTTTTAGAGCAACAAGAACAGCTTCCTTTTTGAACATATCCTCTTTTACAACATGTCTCACTGTTGCCACCCACAAGAAAAAAACTGGACTGGGAGTCACGGCCTTCCTGGAACCCAGTCTGTTGGCTCTCAGTGTACCTAATCAGCCAATATTGGTCAAGTATAGCATTCTTAAAGCTGCTGTCTTCATGGCCCAGATTTCACCTCCCCAGTGAGCTGAGAGCTAAGACTACTATCGCATTCCTCAGGCAACATCAGATTTTTATCCTGTATGACGGATTCAAATTGGCAAAGCTCACCTGGCATACAGCAAAAGCTATATCGTGGCAGAAAAAGCAAGCACATCTCAGAAGCCAATACCCCATTAAGACTACTTTTCAGCTTGGAAGGCAACAGGAGCGCACATTAGGCCTGTTTGAAAGCTGCAGCCTATTTTTCAATGGAGTGCAAGCTTGCGCTGTCTGGAAGCAGCCCGGTTTGTCTTTCCCGAGCTCCCCGCTTTTAAAGCGAGTAAAGGTATCGCCCGGCCCCAGGTTTCTACGTGACGCTGGTGGTGAACCGCTGGTGGAACCAGTTTGTGAACCTGCCGTGGCCCGACCGGCTGATGCTGCTGATCTCCAGCTGCGTGCAGGGCCGGGACGAGCACGGCCGCCTGCTGCGCAGGACGATGATGCGCTACATCAACCTGGCCTCGCTGCTCATCTTCCGCTCCGTCAGCACCGCCGTCTGCAAGCGCTTCCCCACCATTGACCACGTGGTGGAAGCAGGTACCTCGGGCTTTTCATTAAAAAAAAATAGAATACTTGCTTACACTTATATAGCGCTTTTCCGGACACTCCACTCAAAGCCCTTTCCAGGAAATGGGGATCCCTTCCACCACCACCAATGCGCAGCATCCGCCTGGATGATGCGACGGCAGCCATAGTGCGCCAGAACACTCACCACACATCAGCTATCAGTGGGTAGGAGAATAGAGTGCTGAACCCAGTTCATAGATGGGGATTATTAGGAGGCCAGGCTCACACCTGCTGAACGTCAGGGGGTTGTCAGTTGTGAGATGCAGGGTGATATAGCTGTAGGCTAATAACATGCTTGAAAGAGCTGATGTAAATGCTTGTTGTGCCAGGAAAGAACATCAGAGAGGAGGCCATTTGGCTTGACTGGCCTGTTTGGTAGTTAGTTAATGTGCAGAGCTGGTAGAGATGACCAAACAGCCTTGCAGCTGTAACTGCTGCCAAAGGTGCCTCCATCATATATTGAGTTCATGGCCCTGAATACTTATGCAATCAACATATTTCATAAGAACATGAAAAGGGTACACCCAGAGCAGGCTGTTCAGCCCATCTGGACTGTTTGTCAGTAGGTATCTCATCCAGCCATCTCTAGAAAAAAACAAAGTGCTGTCTTAAAGCACATGGCTATACAGCTTGTTCTATATTCCTGCAACCCTTTTGTAAAGAGGTTCTCAGTTGTAAATACACTTCCATGTAGTTTCTACTTGAGTCCTCTGGTTCATGTTGCACTGTTTGTTTTGAAAGCAGTTGTGTTGACCTTGTCTATGTCTTTAGTTAGGATTTGGAATACTTTTATCCAGTCCCCTCTCAGTCTTTTCTTTCAAGATTAAATGGGGTAAAACCCAGTCTTTCAAGAATATTGCCAGGCATGAGGAAACTATTGTCCCTACCAGTAATACTCAACTGGGGCTGCACATTGGTGGTGGTGGAGGGGAGTCCCCATTATCTGTAAAGTGCTTTGAGTGGAGTGTCCAGAAAAGTGCTATGTAAGTGTAAGGAGTCGATATTAAAAATATAGAACTCAAATCAATTTCCAATACTTTCTTGTTTAGGCTTTTGCAACTTTTTACATCGGGCCCTTTAAAACTGTATCCCAGAACACTTCAAATCACAACAAATCCATTCTAAACATATTTCATTTCCAACAGGGCCTTGGAGTTAAGCCCCATGAAAACACCGAACCGATTCCAAGATTGTACCAAAGGAAAGCTTCACGTGAATAATTTATAACCCAGACGCTACGAGAGAAAGGCTATGCAACAGTGGAAACAGAAAAGAAACTCAGGGCTTCTTAAGAATGCATAGGGTTCTTATTCCAACATTTAATTTCATTTCAAGCCAAGAAAAACCCCAGGGAGGCCATGAGAAACAACCATAAAGCAGCACCAACATTTAAAATGACTGACTTTGCAGAACAGTTGAAAGTCAAGCAAGCAGTTGTGAGCTGAGCTGACAGTTACAGTTAACATCAATATCTCTGTCTAGAGCTGTTAGAAGGGGCCTGGATACTGCACGTAATAACTGCAGACATCCTGCAGGAATACCACCATCTTACAACCACCTAGAAAAGTTTCAGACATTTTTTAGCAAAAAAAAATCACCAACCTAGATTTGTTTCCTGAATAATCAAGAATACAGGCCTGAATGTCAACATACAATGCACTATTTTGTCAGTTGAAAGGCGGGCAGTGAAGGTTAAAATTCATAATGTCTTTTGATAATGCTCTTGTTCACCTTTGGAGGTTGGGAAGGAAAAAATAGAGCTAGCACTGTCATTTTCAGTTTAATTTGACATTTTTATGCATAAAGGTTTTCTTGCATCCTAAAGTTGTCAGGGGATAAGAGACTCCTTTGGTATGAACTAGTGGGTATCCATGGGAACATGTTCCTCCTGGTTCTGTTTGCATTGTTCCATGGTGCACAATGTTCACACTACAGTTGTTTCAAGACATTATCTTGTTTTATCAAACAGGAGGGCAGGATAATGCACCAAATTGTGTCCACTGATCTGTCTATTTCCTTGGTCCAAGGTTTTATGACAGCAGAGGAAAGGAAGGTATTTGAAAATCTCAAATCACCCCATCTGAAATACTGGATCCCAGTAGTGTGGTTTGCAAATCTGGCCTCTAAAGCCCGGAAGGAGGGCAGAATAAAGGACAGCGTGGACCTGCAGACCATCATGAATGTGAGTTCACTGCCTCGTTTACACCCCCTGTTAAAAATCAAGAACATAGGAAAGGTTACAAAGAGGAGGAGGTCATCTGGCCCGTTCGTCTTATTTGGTTGCTAGAGGTTAACTGATTGGCGAATCTCTTCCAGTTATTTCCTGGAAGTAGCCGGAGTATCAGTTTCAGCAGCATGGTTGGGCAGCACGTTCCAGTCTTCTACAACCAACTGCGTAAAAAGTACCTCCTGTTCCCAGTGTTTAACTCATTTCCGCATAGGATCAACTTGCTTGCCCTGGTTTGTGTTTCACTGTTTATTCTGAAGAAGTCGTTTTGACATTGCCTTTGAGGACTGAATCCTTGAATCATGGCCCCCTTCTTCTCAAGTATTAAACAAACTCATTTTTTTAGCCTCTTCTTAATGAGAAATTCTGTTAAGTCCCAGAATACATCTGTTAACTCTTTTTTGTTCTGGAGAGATTCCAGAGCAGCAATATCTTTTATTCAGTTTACACATTATTTTGACACATTTACATCTTCTAGACAAACAGAGGTCTTCTTCAAGCTGGGTGTAATCTTGCAATTCTAATTCATGTGTTTGTTAAAAGCACGTAATATTTTTTGGCTATATTATACGTCAATTGGCAGATGTTTGCCCAGTTTTGGGTTTTCCCTTGTTTTTTATTTTAATTTACAACTTATACAGTTTTTGCTAATCCTCCTATTTTGGTAACATCTGTGAATGTGAGAAGCTTTCCATGTATACTCGTGATCTAGATCACTGGTATAAATGCAGAAAAGCCATGGTCCTAATACATAGTTAAATTCCTCTAACTACATCACCCCAATTAATGCATTTACACCTTAACATCTATAAATCTGTACTGTTTCCTCTCCATTAAACAGTTCTCAATCCAACTATAAATACTTTCAATAAGTTCAATTTAGAAATTAGTGTTTTATGAGGATGATTATGAAAATAATCTAAATATATTGAGACATATTCTCTGTTGGTATCCATTACAGCTATTTCTTATTTTAAAAAACCCTAATGTGTTCTATAATACTGTTCCCCAGTGTCCTGTGCCTTATGTGCATAGCATTGATTCCTGCTTTTCTTAAACAGTTTTTACAGTAGGGTAGAGTTTTATCTCTCTTATACAGCTGTAGTTTTCCATGTCTTTTCTTCCGCATGCTGTTCCAAAAGCTAATCTGGCTTCAGAGGTTTCTAATTTTTTCTCACGTCAAAAAATAATATTATGGTTCGTTGTCACTGTCACTTTAGCAGACTTATTTTTCCTTAATGTTCACACAGGAAATGAACAAATTCAGAACTTGGTGTTCAACCCTGTTTGGCTATGACTGGGTGGGAATTCCTCTCGTCTATACGCAGGTAAAGATTGAATTTATTATTTTAATTTGATGGATGGAGCACTGACAATGAAAAAAACCCAACATTTATTCACTACTGATGTGAAAGCCTGGATATTGGCACACATGTTCTCCTGTTTTGACATGGAGCCAGCTCACAGGAAGAACAGGAGATTGGATTGTGACTGGACAGTAGCACAAGTCAGCCTTTGTGCTTCAGATCTGCCTTCTGTCGAAAAGCTGTGTGAATCTTCGACAATGGGTCAGGATGGTCAAACTCCAGGACCCAAAGGATGCTGGTTCTTTGGGTTTTCACTCAATCTTTCACTTGCTGACATGACCTTACTATTTATCTCCTCTGGGAAACCTGGTTTCAAGATCCTGACCCAGACTTTTTTTTGTGGAATAGCACATCTGGTACTGCTCTACAGACTTATTAATAAACTATGATAAATTAAAGAGTGCTCCTTATTGTAACAAGCTTAACACCCTTTAACACGTTACTATTTAACATCCTCATCAACAGCTGAGAAAGAAATTCAGTCCTAAAATTATCAATTTATATAAATTGTTATTATAAAAAATAACACTGCAATTCATGTGTAGCTCAACTCTCATCTAATTGTCACGTGCTATCCATTAACGTCGGTCTGGAGTCCAACTGAGGCTTCGTGAGGAAATGATGCCACACACAACCCAAGAAACTGTGGCACCGAAGGCGTTTTCTGAAATGACTGGGGTTCTCTCCCATCCCATGGGTGTTCCTGGCAAAACAGGACAGGGGAAATCAGGAGGCAGAGCAGCAGTTTTCATAGCCTCTGTCAGAACGTCCCATATTCTATCACCGAGAGTGCCTTTAAACCACCATCTCCTTACAATGTTTAATATGCGCACTTCCTGTAAGAAAATGATCACTCCTATGAGAAACAACGGGAGCCCAGACATGACCTACTGTATCTCGGGCGCCTCCGTGCCCCCGACCCACACCTGCAGCAGTGACGTCACTGCGGGAGACTTGTCTTGCTCAATGAGACCCACTGGAGGAGCTCTGGGGAGTGATGTCACCACATCAGTCCCCTCTTCCACGATAAGACCTACGCGCAACGAGAACGAGTGAGGAGAGGTGGACCAAAAACAAAAACATTCAAGATGAGTTTCAGCCTCATGAGGAAGACACCTTACAGATTGCCCAGCAACATTCACAAGCCTTTGAAAGGTCCCTAATGCACACATAGTTTTTTTAAAACAACGTAGAATATTGAAAAGCAATTTTTTGTCTCCCCTCTAGTACTGCAGTTCTCCCTCCCCCTCCCCCTCTCAGACCGTTCGCTGTGTCTCCTCAGGTCGTCACTCTGGCAGTCTACACCTTTTTCTTTGCCTGTCTGATTGGGCGACAGTTCCTGGACCCTAAACAGGGCTACACTGGTCACGACCTGGACCTCTACGTGCCCGCCTTCACCCTGCTGCAGTTCTTCTTCTATGCCGGCTGGCTCAAGGTCAGGCTCCTGCTGGCATGTCCCCTTTTACTTTCTCTCTCCGTTTGCTTTAATACCAGCGCGGGAGACTGTAGTGTCCGGTACCGAACGCTGTGGAGATCTGGACAGGCTGTCACATTAACCACATGATGAAGATGTTAAAATTAATTTTAAAAGTCTGATTTTACATTTTTAAATTGCATTTACTCCATGATATATATATACAGATATTACTCTAATAAGCACTAAGAAATGTTAATAAATAGAAGAGTTTTCAGCTGTTCCTGAAATTTAAAAAAAAAATGTTTTGAAGTTTCTTCCAAAGGGAGAGGTTCAAATCCGACTGTGGGATTATTTCAGTGGTTCAGGCAGATTTTTCTACTTGGTCTTAATTACATCAAATACCCAACCTACTCAGACTGTCAAACTGCAAGACTTAGAGGAAGCTCTGAGAATGCAAATATCCCACGAGCAATCATAAAAAAATTTCACTGTGAGAGGGGCTGAGATATCTCTTCTATTCCCGATACAATGTCTATTGTTTAGTTCTGAACAGGAGTTGGAACATGGTTTCTCATACATGAAGGAAAACATCGGTTCAAGGCTTGGTATACAGTGATGGTTAGTGCTTCTACCTCATGGATCTTGAGGCAATTGATTTGACTGGGGTATATTTTCTAGGTGCTTGAGTTTCTTCCCACCTTCCAAAGACATGCTGTATAGGTGTATTGATGAAATTATTGGTGAAAGGATGTGTGTGGTGTATACGCATGCACTGCATAGGCATGGTGTGTGCTTTTGTGCGTGTGTACAGCAATGGACTGATACCTTCTAGGACTTAGTCTCTCATTGTGCCTTTTCTTTCTAGGATAGACTCAGTCCTATCCAGGAACTGGCTTTCTGATAATGGATTGATGGCTTATTGTGCAAATAAACTGACTGCCAGTAAAGTTTATTGTCTTATCTGCATAAATAATAGATGTGTATCTTGTGTAACAAGATGCAGAACACATCTCTGTTTTCAGCAAACCTCTTTATTTATGCTGACACACAATCGTCTTAGTTTCACATCAGTAAGTCACTGCACAAGTCACATATACATTTTAATTAGCGAGCAGAGGTGTGGGCATTGTTAGAGTAGTATTGTTCCTTGAAATAACTAAGTGGTGAATTTAAGTAATGTGATTTCAGAAAAAGCAACAGATGGTCGGTCAATATTCGGTTTGCGGGTTGGGTTAAAATGACCAAAACGTGTTGATTAAAACTTTATTTAACCAACAAATCAAAAATAATTTTCTGTAAAGCAACAACAGTGAAAGATACCGTATTTACCACTTGCTTATGGCAAAATTTGGCATGGAGATGGAGATGTTTACATCAAGAAATAAGACTAAGGAGTAAACGGTCTCTGTGAGCAGGCTATCTCCTGCAAGGCAGGTTTTTGTATGAGTTACTATGAGAATTACAGATACCATGGCTTTTTGTCTTTGTTTTTTATTCCATTTTTGATGTATTTAGTATTTATGATATTAGGCATTTGAACATCACAAAAAATCAAAACAAAAAAACAAAAAAATCAAAAAGTTATAAATTAAGCACATTCTATTACTGAAACTCACTAATTTTGCCCTCACAAAAACACAATGGCTACCTTGGCTCAGTTCAAACTGTGATAGATCTTCTCACCCTAACCATCTCTGGAATTTCCGCTAACACTACTAGTGTACTTTCTCAGCAGTGACTTTCGCATCAGGTCATTCTGAGATTCAAAGCATTGGGCTGATAGTTGTGTTGTCCTGGTCAAAAGGGAGTAGTGGGGGTCTGATCATGTGGCAAGGAACACAAAAACACCTTTGTGCCCGCTGAAGCTGATAACAAGCTTTCTTTCAAGTCACAACTTGTTGAGATCCTGGGATCAGTTTGCCATTAGCACCTGGTTAGATAGGTTAAATGCCCTGCTCTCATTTTGAAACCTTAATTTACACATCCAAAGTTAGTCATTCAGCAGCAGAACACAACAATAATGGAGATCTGCTTGGCAGACATCATTTTCTTCTCTCAGTCTCTAGCACATTAAGCCAGCAGTCTGTTAGAAAATGCTGTATTAGTACTGCTTTTAACTGAACTCTCTGTGGGTCACTTTTGGCTTAACATAGCTTTGGAGATTTGCACAATCTGGAATACAGCGATGTACAGTGATGTGCCATATAGTTACTGCTTGTTCTTCAAAAATTAGTGGACCTTTGTCTCTTCGAAGGAAAACTAAACTAAAAAATGTATCTCAGTGCTAAATGCTGAAACAGTCGGATCAGAGTTTCCAGGCGTGATGTGATAAAGAAGAGACCCAGAACTGCCACGTATATCGAAAGGTGTTGCTGCTAATGTGCAGCTTTGCAAAGACATTCAAAGCAGAAGAACCCGAATTGTTTTCTCAGTTGGAATCCACTCGAAACATACATATAGAGAGACACTCTGTCAAATATCAACTGAAAGGGCTAACAAGGTGGAAAGAGATTAATGAGTGCTACACAGTGAAAATGTATGGATTGTAATTGCAGTATACACATTTCTACAAAGCAGTGAGTCAATGACTGTGGAATTGGGTAGAACAAGCCACCCTCCCTGCCTACAAAGACTTAAATTAACAGGCTACTGGCAGGAAATGAGCGGGGGATTGTCAGAAGTGGTGATTAAATTGCAGAGCTTTTTGTATATCCTGCTGGGTGCAGTTTCAGACCAATTAAAGCAGAGCACAGTACATCACGTTCAGTGACCCTTTAGGAAATGGGTGTGGGTGGTGTATTAGGAGCAGATGGAATAAGCTAGGTGGTGACCAAAGCAGCAGCGTATATTAATGTGTCCCATGTGTGAAATGTGGTGGATGGTATTACTTAAGATAAGCTGTAGCTATATCTAGTGCTGGCACCTGCCATCGCAATCTTTCTTACTATCAGGAGCATGGTATCTTTTTAAAGTATGTTACCAATGATAAAAACATACACAAAAAATAGGAAACTCCATGTTTTATTCTGCTAGAAGAATTCTTTTGGGAAAAAAGGGCACATCACACCCATGGAATACCCCTACATTGAAAACAATAGCAGTTTTGGTGTGTCACATGTAGTGCTGTACTCTCAAATTCATTTCTTCCAGTATTTTAATTGAATGAAATGAAGGGACTCGGTATAGCTAACTCATTCAGACATTAAAGAGCGATCATCATACATAGACCAGACTCATTTCCCTTGAACCCTAAATCCGTGGAACAAGAAAAAAAAAACAGATCCTGGAAACTCAATATAGTTTTGAAAATGACAGGGGGATGTCTGAGAGATCATTGGCAAGTACCCTGTTTGAAAACAAAACAAAGGAAAAGAACAAGAAATCCAATTGCATGGTGTATGAAAAAAACAACAAACATCCAAAAATGAAGTGAAAGCAGGTCCATTCTAAACAAGAACTTCTAACAAAATTACAGGTTGTCCTGTAGTCAGGCAGCCAAACGGTCTTCAATGACAGGGAAGGTAAGACTTACTGTACTTCTAAGGCCGTTGTCAGCAAGCCACTGAATGATCCACCAATTGTGGAAAAAGTGAATTCTTAAAAGTTCTTAAAAGTTGTGGCAATACGATTCTTCTCAGGAAGAACTGCTGCAATGTAACAGCCACCAAGTAGGTATTGGGAAGTAAGAACACTTCCCACAATTCCTTTTTGAGGATGTGCCGTTCCTCTCCCTTTCCTCAGGTAGCAGAGCAGCTCATCAACCCCTTTGGAGAGGATGATGACGACTTCGAGGCGAACTGGTGTATCGACAGAAACCTGCAGGTCAGTGGGTTTTCCCAGCACGTCGCCAGAAAGAGGCGAATGCAGTGCCACTCCTACCAATGTTATAAGCAAACACAAATCAAATCCGTTTTTTGAAACCTGGGATCCTATTTTTAACTGGATGAATGTATTGTTCCCATGTAAATGAGCCGAGAGGAGCTGAGGACTGAGTCTGGCTTGAGTAACATCCTTTTTTTTTTTTGCCTGCTCATGTAACAGAGCGTGACGTTAGCACAGGGGAATAATTCTGTCCCTCAGGAAATCGAGCTGCATGTTTCTGTAATTGTCAAGTGGGGTTTTCTGTAACGGGCAGGTGTCTCTGATGGCTGTGGACGAAATGCACATGAACGTCCCTCGGATGACGAAGGATATCTACTGGAACGACTCCGATGTCCGGCCTCCATACACCTTGGCCGCCGCAGACTACTGTATCCCCTCCTTCCTGGGCTCCACCACTGACATGGGGTGAGCACTGAGACTCCCACCTGCTCCTTCAGCTGACAGGCATGTCCCTCAGGAGGGCAGATAAACACAAGTATTTAGAGAGGGCAGTTTCTGACCACCCAGCAACACCCCTGGGCAGCCTTTCGAGGGACAAGAGAGGGGAGGAATCTTTTATAGGTGAGCTGCATACAACACAGCACAGAAACCTAAAGTAATTTGGAAACAAGAGTGCCGGAGACCTGTTTATGAATGCACACGCAACACACAAGAGGCTGCAAGGCAAACAAAAGAAAATAGTTTTTACTTTCAAGCTCCAGTTGACTTCGTAACATTTCCCAGCTGAGGCTGGACAGATAGGCAGTTTACCAGCTTACATAAAAGAAACAGGAGAGCTCTACCAAATGTGAGGATTTTTCCAGGTTGGGACCAATGCTGAAGTCCGTTTCTCGCCCAAGCAAAGGTGGTAACCCAAAGTGCTTCTAATCGGTTTCTGTCACCCCGTGCACCACACCCAGCTTTGTTAATGAGCCTCCTGTACCTGTGGCGATCGCTTCTGTACTGTACATACGCGTCAGTTAAGCAGGTGTTCATCCTCGCTTGATCGTTCTTCAGCACTTACAGTTCCCAAATCTGCTCCCCTGCGTGTGTCCTCCAGCTTTCGGATTGAAGCAGCCCGCCCGAGCTCGTGTTGAGCTCCATGATCACGGGGTCTAGGTCATGTGAAGCAGCTCAGTGCTCCCGACAGCGTTGTGGATTAGCCGGCAGGGACGTGCCTGGCTCTCGGTTACAGGAACTCCTGTGCAATCCCGGGCGCTGGCAGGCAGTCGGTATACTCGGTACTGTCGGTGAGGGACGCGTCTCTCCTCTCATCGGCGCTGAACCTCTGAAACGGGGCTGCATTGCCTGTAAGGAGGAAAAATACGAGCGTCTCCAGGCAGGCGGGTCAGAGGCTTCTACATACTGTACACCTCCTCATTCTCTCCGGTGTGAGGTCACGGGATTTGATACTCCGAACCGCGGTGTGAAAACACGCAATTGGCAAATACAACTCAAATGGGATTAACAAACAATTTGCAGTTCTTTATTTACGGGAAAAAATCTATATGGAAAACAGACTATTTAATCTTTTATATATCGGGTTTTTAACAAGTAACAAGGACAGCTAGTACTACATGATATTACTGAATACCTTTATATTTCATAACAGCTTTTAACAGGATCCCACAGAACAGGTTAAAAGCCAATGGAATCCATGGTAAGAATTGTACAAGAACTGGTTAACAGAAAGGCAAGTTATTTTACATTGGGCAGATGTAAGCAGAGCAGTACTGCAAGGATGCAGTTTAGACCTGTGGATTTTCCTGATCGATAGCAATTATTTTAATTCTGGTCTAGTTAGCAAACAAGCTAGATTTAGAAGTGATATAAAAATAAGGTGGCAAACGGAAACTCTGCAGCAAGGGAATTAAAGAAAGACTTAGATCAACTCTACTGGGTAAAACCAATAAAAAAATTTAACATTGAGAAGTGCAAAGCGATCCGCACAGTGAATAGGACCGTTGCTGTTTCCATGTAATGTAAGAAAGAGATCTGGGTGTTTGTGTAGACTCGTCTAGGTTATCAAGCCACCATAATTAAAAAGGCAGATGAAATGCTTGAGTATATAGCAAGAGGTATGTGACAGTCCCTTCCATTTAAGGAAAGAAAACATTATTTCTTCTTGTCACTGAAAACCCACGGGAACCAGGTCGTTTATCCCAAGAGAGGAGTAAGGAAGGGGGAGGGATCAAAAATGAGGAAAAGTGGACACAGTGAAGTCCAGTACCAGTCCAAAAAGAGCTTTATGGGGCTGATAAGGAAACAGGCCGAGAGGGGCTCACACTCCAGTATTCTGGGCAGTCAGTGATGCCACATTTTGCCTGCTGTGTTTCAGCCTGTCGGACATCGATGTTCTTTACTACGACGACGTCATGCCGGAGGATTACCAGCCCCGCCGGCAGATGTCGGTGTTGGGCAGAGTGCGCCGGCTGCTCAGCGTGCAGGACCCCCCGGACCTCTCCCCCCGCCGCCCCTCTTTCAAGCGCAACAGCAGTGAGTTCTCCAGCGTCTTCTTCCCTTTCCCCCTGGACCAAAACCTCCAGCTTGGTGCCGAGGAGCTGGGCAACAAATTCAACCTGTCGGGCCTGCAGGAGCCCCAGGCGAAAGCCTGCCCAGACCACCTTTCCACGCTGCGGGAGGTCAGCGCCCCCTCTACCCCCGAAAAGCAGCTCCGCTCGCCCACCTTGCGGAAGGTTCCGGAAGTGGTGGTCATTCCACCCCAAGGCAACAGCCTGCACAGGCAGCAGGACAATCGAGACACCCAGGGGCCTGAGCTCCCCCAGGAAGGCCCTGGGAAGGGGACAAGAGAGTCTTCCAGTGAGCGGGAGCCAGACCAAGCAGCAGGGAGGCCAAAGGATCAGGGTTCCAGCAAACAGAGGTGGAGCGTACCGGCGCCAAAAAAGAAACTGAAGAGCCGTCAGCTCTTCCGCCGGGTCTCCAAGGCCTCGTTAAGTAGCCTGCCCAGTCCCAATGGCCTGGTGGGGAGGAAGAGCCTCACTGGGGCGACCAACACCCCTTCGAAGCCAGCCCTGAGCACCAGCCAGGCTGCGACCAGTGACTCAGAGGAGCTCCGGGAAACGGACATCTTGGAATCCAACAGCGAGGAGAGCCAGAGCACGAGGCAGACGCACTCTCCGGACTCCTAGCAGGCAATCTTCCAGTAGGGCCTTCGGTGTGGTTAGATCTCAAATACAGAGCGGTGGGATTCGTCTACAAAATGTGAAACAACTTTTTTTTATACACCACATCTTTTTTTTTTTTAGCAGAGAAGACATACTGCATTGGCACTGGATTAAAATTTTCTTATGTTATGCTTAACAGCGATGCTTCATTTAATTGAGATTTTTTTCCCTCTCAGAGTTCTCCGACCAGTTATTTAATTCTCTTTATCAGAATTTTGTGAAGGGATTTTTCACCCTTTTTGTGTGCGTGTGTCCCTGCCTATGTCCCACCCAGCCACTGGTTTCCTCTTTTGTCCCTTACCCATCACACTGGTACTTTTGTCCCGACAGAGATAAATATGCATCCGATTGCGGAGGGGTTTTCTTCTGGCAGCTGTGCCTCTCCTTGAATAGCAGATCTCTCGATTAATTCTGATTAAATAGACTGGGCTACAGTCCGACTCTGTGCTAACCAGCCATTTAGAGCAATAAATCATAAGGTACTTCAATTAAAGATTTTAAATAAACTTTATTGTACTCTGGAGAAATTGATGGATGACGATCCACAGCACAGGTCTGGGTCTTAAATGCAATATTGATAAAGGATCAATAATACTCCTATTATAGGAAATGCCTGCACCTACAGTTCTTTTGGACAGCCACAATGCAGAAAACACTCAGTCACCTGGATACCCTGTTAATTGACCATTACTAATATTTTTTACCGTTTGCATTGTTGCTGAAAGAGCTACCTTGCACAAATGGTTGGACGATACGCTGCAATTGCAGATGGAATGGGACTAGGAGTGACAGAGAACCCACTCACAGAACGAACAGGTGGCCGAGTTCAAGAGGCTGCAAACAGCACACAGGAAACTGCCCAGAGCTGCACATTACTGAGACTGGAGGGGGTGAGAAACATTTAATAATACAAATGTCCTCCAAACCTGGGGGGGATGGTGGAAGGGCAGAAAAAAAAAGCTTTCCAAAATGTTTATGATGCTAAACTAAATATTATAGATGAAGTTATTGTAGCCTATTTCAAAGGAAGTAGAATAACCTTTATTCTCCAAAATATCAGAGTACAAACGTTTTATACAGAATCACCACAAGAGGGGGTTCTCATACACAGAGACTAAAGTTTGATCCTCTAGATTCCTCTAAATACAGTATGTGTTGTACTACAATATGAGTAAGACTCGTCTCTTTCCCACACCCTTTGAAATGACAAAAATAAATTTAGACAGCTGGATGACATCTTAACATTAATATTTTTTCACATTTAGAATCATTTAGAATCCACGTACACTACTGTAGCACAAACCATAAGAAAATGTACCCCTGCTTTTTTAACAGAAAGTGTCAAATTGATGTACAAAGTAAGGGTAACAATTCAAAATGTACATTAAAATACTAAATTCCTTACACTTATATAGCTCTTTTCTGGACACTCCACTCAAAGCACTTTAAAGGTAATGTGGACTCCCCTCCACCACCACCAATATTCAGCCCCCACCTGGATGATGCAACAGCAGCCATAGTGCGTCTGTCTGCTCACCACACACCAGCTCTCAGTGGGGAGGAAAACAGAGTGATGAAACCAATTCATAGATGTTATTAGGAGGCCATGATTGGCCAGGGCCAAATGGGAAATTTGGCCAGGACACCCCTGGGATTTTTAATGACCACAGAGAGTCAGGACCTCAGTTTTACGTCTCATGTGAAGAACGGCACCTTTTTACAGTGTGTCCCCGTCACTATACTGGAGCATTAGGACCCACATGGACTGCAGGGAGAGCACCCCCTGCTGGCCCCACTAATACCACTTCAAGCACCAATCTCAGTTTTTCCCAGGTCTCCCATCCAGGTAGTGACCAGGCTCACACCTGCTGACCAGCAGGGGGTTGTCAGCTATGAGTTACAGGGTGATATGGCTTCTAGCTTGGCTCTACCTAAAATGCACATACAGTAGCTACATCTAAAAAATACACATATTTGAGAAAGTAGAGGAGGTCAGTCAAGGAAGACACAGGAAAAAGCATGTTCATCTGAATTTATTAACCTGGCTGAAGTTGTCACAGTTTAGCACGGCTCTCTCTCAATCAGGAGAGGGCAGCTCTCCTTGGCAGGGCCTACACCCTCAGACGACTGCCATGCCAGGCTTTGGCAAACCCCACCCGGTCATTCCCTCGGTCAAAGATGCTGTAGAACTCCGAAATGAAGACATCCCCCAGGATCCAGAGAGGACCAGAGGAGGTTTTGATGTCTATAGCCTGGAATCCACTGAAGCACAACTCTCTTCCTCCCAAAGTTTCCTTCAAAGAAAGGCCACAGCTCAGATGCGCCACCCAGCAGCAAGCCAGGAACAGGACATGACACACTTAGACACAAGCGCACGTGGTCTGGCCTTCGCACGTGATCTTATTTGAATTTTTGTTTTTTAAAAAGACAGAATTATGCCACATTTTCTGTAGATCCGGAGCTCTTAAAAAAACATGAGCACCTTTGCTATGATAACTACAGGGAAATAATAAAGTCTGGCTGTACAGAGGTGCCTACCTTTCTCACGTACGAGTTAGCAGACAACTTATACACCACCTCATGGATGGTGAATTCCACTAAGGGCAGGCTGGACAGTCTCGCACAGTCAACTAAGTACTGAAAGATTAAAAAAAAACCCAAAACAGAACTTTTTACATTGTCTGGCCTTTGTTGTAAAATTCACTGTGGAATACAAAGCAAACGTTCCACTCGGTTCACGGGGGGTTCATAATAAAAACAAACAGGCTTTCCCCGAGAGGGCAGTGAACATGACGAGAGCTCTCCCGTCACCCTCACCTCGCCCAGCTGCGATGGAGTGGCTCCAATGTGCTGCTGCAGGGCCAGGATGTCCACTGTGGGACCAGTGATGAGGGAGGTGCCCGTGTCCACAATCGCCTGGCAGCCAGTAGAGCAAAAGGCCACATGACCCTGGATTTTCACACTGAAGAGAACGGACAGCAAGTACTGAACTGAAGGGCAGCGCATAACTGATCCAAGTTGATGATCATGAAACAGGCTTGGCTTATGTTCTCAATAAAGTGCATGCTGCTGAACGATCCCAACATTTATAGAACACACCAGAGTTTCAGCTTTTACTGTGGTTATGCTGTTCGGTTTAACGGGTTTAATTGTTTTTTAAACTACTTTAAGCAAGCAAAGAGAGCTTATTCTTTCCTTTCAGGAATCTACAATAGCTGTTCAGGGGAACCAACAATGCACTCTCCCTTTAAAAGCCCTTTTTGAATTTCATTCCAGCACTGCACCATAACCAGTCAGAACATTGAAAAATCAACAAGAAATGAAGGCAGGATCCTTGAGTTTTCAGTAGTTGTATTTAAACGGTTATAAAGATAATTTAAAAAATAAAACAGGCTTACTTGTCCACTTTGATCTGCCAGTAGGTTTTCTCAGTCAGTGGGACCCAGTTAATGGAGCCCTTGTACAGAGACTCATCAATGCCCCCCAGTAGCAGCTCTCCTCCCACCTCATCTTCTTTCCGTCTGGAACCAGAAACACATTCAGACTTGCAGACCTTCCTCTCACAGCACAGCTTTATGCGTAAATCTCTAGGTCGCAACTTCTGTAATTGCAGATAGACATTTAACTGCGACGGGAGCGCATTGCTGCTAATCAATGGGAAAAAAAAACTTTACTTTAAATTTCGTTATAACGACAAAATGATCTCGTAAATACGGAACAGAAATGACCATTTCAGCGTATGAACAGCCTGTTACATTGTGCATTGACAGCACCTAGTCAGCTGGAACTGTGGATTTCGAGTGTCGAGCGCTGCAGAATTAAACGGACGCTTTTTCCACGGGGGATTATTTCCAATGACGTTACAATTTGTGCCTAACTGAACACAACCATCACCATAAGGACAGTCGCGTGTGTGTTTTAACAAGAGCGCATCGTGCAATCGATTCCACGGCTTTAAACTGAAAGTCGATGTAGTTACTGCATGACAAATTGTGCTGTCTCGTGATGATACAGTACGCAAGATTGTACTCTCTCATAATTACGAGTTTAAGGTTTTTGTTTCTCTGATGGCAGTTTTGTGCTTCAGTGAACTACAGAGCACTGCAGCATCTCTCTCTGTTTTTAGCATCCAAGACTAAACACGTCACTCATTAGGAAAAAAAAACAATGTGGATGGATAAACAAAGCGACCAGGTAAAGTGTTGGGTTTTTTTTTTCCTCCAGCATTGCCTGTTTAATAGGAGACGAGAAAGAAGGGAAGATGAACACCAACCTGCTGAGATAGAAGGAAAATACAGGGCTCGTCACCTGCTTCTGTGCCACCAAATTGTCAAACACGGGAGTGCTGCCCCCTTCAGCGAGCGAGGGGTAGCCCAGTCCCAGAACCCCATCGAACTGCGCCAGGGCAAAGGTGAAGCCAGGCTCGAACACCGACTCCCCAAACTCCTGACCGCTCACAGCTATATGGCCAATCTCCGGGGTAAAGAGATACACGAACAGTTATCAGAGAGACCACATTGCCTGCCGCGATCTCCGCCAAAATAAACTCCAGCAAACATGATTTCACAAATAATAAACAATCCCAACAAACCCAGAAAGGTTGAGACGTCCTGCGTTTTATGTTGATTTTGCAGGTGTGGGTTTGCATCGGTAACCAGATAAATTGTCAGACACTTTATAAAATAATAGAATCGACGTATGTGTTAGTGCAGCTGCGAGCTCAATGACACATGTTTCAAACGTAAGACGTTCGCCAATACAGGAGTTACCTTTAACTGGTCTTTAGACACCACTCCTACAAGCTGTCCTGACCCGTACTGAATGGAAAAGATCGTCCCATCGGCAACATACGTGCTTGACTTGAAGGACTTGAACTTGCGGTGCGTACCTGAAAAGAAAAATACAAGACGCGTTTAACCCTGCAGGACTGAGGGTGATTTTGTGAAATCCCCAACTATACTAACGGCAAGAAGTGACATCATGTTTTCGGTGTCAGGTGCCACGTTTTGTGGGTTTGTCTCCAAGACTAAGCAGCAGTGAAGAGCACATTAAAGCCACCTAGATAGATGTCAGTCTAAGAGATCATTAAGTTTGTGCCTTATTGCAACCTCATTTGTATTGGTCCTTGCACAGATAACGGTTAAAAACAAAGCAAAAAAAAAAAACAGGACTAGCCCAAGGCACGCTGTAGGTTAAATATTGCAATTCCTAAAGCAAGGAAAAAAAAACTCTGCTTTAAAAAGGTCTCTTCAGAAGGACTTCTCTGGTAGACTGTACCAAACCCCAGTCTGCTCTGCACATCTTACTTGACCAATGCCCAGTTATAAGTCCTCTCAATAGGAAGGTTAATTTATTATTCAGTTATTTGGTTAATTAATTTCATGAAGCTGTTGGAGGCGGTGCATTTGTTACAGAGCTCTTGGCAGTGATAAGCTGCCTCTTTGAAATCTATTATGTTCATGAGAACACAAGAATGGTTAGAAACGATATTCAGCCCATGTAGCTCGTTTGGTAGTTAATAAAGAGTTCTTGAAGGGCTCCAGGACATCACCTTCAACAGCCGGCTGGCTGGGTAGCCCATTTCTTCCTCCCACAATCCTTTGTGTAAAGACGTGCTTCCTATTGGTGGTTTTAAATGCATCGCCACGAAAATTCGACTTATGTCCTATGGTTCGTGTTTCATTGCATTCGGGTAAAGCATTCGGAGTAGCAGATGAAATTAAATGTCTTAGACATAAATATAAATGCAAATTAAATCACGTCTAATGTGCGCGAGGCGGAATTAAACATCTATATTGAAGAAACATGGGTTTCTAATCCTGTAGTGGACATTGTTTTAATGGAAAAAGTATATATATTTAGTTCGACGGGTTTTGTGTCCAAGCTTTACTTACTGCAAGCTTCGCTGATGCAATACAGTGAAGGAACCCAGAGGTTAGATGAGCCAGTATCGAAAACCACGGTAAAATTCTGAGGCGGAGTCCCAAGACTCACTTCTCCATAATATTGGGCCTTCAAAATGCAATGAAATAGAAAAATGGTTATTCTGACTGTAATTAATACATACAAGGTGCATTTATCTAAAATAGTCTATTGTTGTTTCATTTAATTGCAGACATCCACTAGTGTACTAATATTAAGGTATTCAACCACAAAATTGTATTTAGATTGGCTACAGACGAACGGTATCCTTTAGTATTGTATTTGCCAGAATACTCCACTAGATGTCACCAAAAATTAAGAAGCAATACTACTGTAATGTGCCGTGGAATCTGATTCAAAAATCAAACCCAATACAATTAAAAATCGCAAGCAAAAAAAAAGGGTCCGGTTGGGCCCGGCCTAAACAAGGGCAATAAAAAAACGCAAAAAAAAAAAAAAAACCAAACAATTATATTGCTACAGCCAAGTCTTGAATGGTTTAGTCTTCTCGACGTGAGCATACATCCAAGAAGTTGTAGAGGCTCTCTTTGGTGCTTTGGAGGGTGGAAGACGGCAGTCCAGGAGGGTAGCACTGCGAGTACTTCCTGGCAAAGACATCTGGCTGGTGATCCCTCAGGTAGTTCTCCAGCTGCTGAGTCGCCCGGAGCTCCTGTCTCACCGATGAGAAGCGTTTCAGGGGTATCCTGGAAAAAAAAAGGCGTGTGTTCTCTAGTCATGTGGTGGGAGTAATACACTTACTGTTGTATAAGGAGTAACAAGATTAACCAAAACAAAATGACACCTATACCGGCAAAAATGCTTAGTTTTAGTTGAAACAGTTTAATGGAAATAGCAGCGGTTTAGCTTACTAGAAAAATTAGGTTGCTTGATGTGTTTTTTTGGTGGCACTCTGAACCCTGACATGAAAGTGATTTCAGTACTTAATGAAATGGAAAATAGGCACTGAGCAGGTTAAGAACCAATTCTAAAAGTCTATTTTGTCTTTAAGATGTAGCAAATTAAAGAGTCTTTTCACACATCATTCCTCCATATAATAGCTGTGAAATTGATTGGACTCCATAATGCCAAGCTCATTCTCCAGAAACCAGTTCATCTACCAGCATGGTCTTTAGACTGTGGGAGGAAACCCATGTGAATGCAGAGAGAACATACAGTTTCCACACAGAGATCACCCCAGGCCTGGAATCGAACCCAGGAACCCAAGGTAGCAGTGCTAACCCCTGTGTCACTGTGCCCCGCCTACTCAACAGATAGTATTATATACAATTCTAGAGATCCCCAGTCAAGCTTTATTTCTTAAAAATACCAATGCTTGTTTTGCCATACTAGCAACATCTTTGCTACCTCATCAAAGGAAATGACCATTTAATTGCATTAGTAGGGAACACAATTTACAATCCCTCACTAAATAAGTGTTTCTGTGTGTAATCAAGCACCTCTCATCCACTATTCACTGCTGGACTACAAATGTCATTTTAAAAAATTCATATACAAAAAAAAGGCATTTTAGGTGCATCTGTGGGTTGTTTATTTCACTTTCTGTAATTTACCATCAAATATGCTAAATGTTGGAATTCAATAAAATCACAACTGTATATATTTCTGAAGGGCTTTCAGATTTGCCACATGTGATCTCTAAATTACAAATTAGACAATCACACATCGAACTGGTCGCAGCAAAATTGTTTCAGGTCTTCAGAATGTGATGATTTGATAACAACCTATAAATCCAGCCAGACCCCCGCTAAAGACCTACAGTATGTAACAAAAGCTGTTCCCAGGAGTCTAAACAGGAAGAAACAGGTCAGTGTTATAAGCTTTTCCTTATAATCAGCTTTTCCTATGACCAGTGCAAACAAGTGAAGATTTTCCTTGCTTCAGTAGATGTAGATATTGCTTTCCTCTCTGAATTGGAAAGTAAGATTGCGATATGGTACTTTATGCACCCACCTCCGTGAAACATCTTATCATCCTTGGGGAATGCAGAAAGTATCAGTGTTTCTTTACTACAGTTAGTTGTTGTTTCAGTTCTTAATATTTTCCCATGTGTGGAAAAGTAACAAAATGATTCAAATACACGCTACCTACCTTTTCTGGAAAACGCATTTAGAAATTTCAAGACCGTTAAGTTTAAAAAAGGGTCGTCTTTTTTTTTTTGCCACTTTCCTGCTGGTGTTGTTTTTTCTATCGGTGGTCAGAAAAGAACTGAATCTTTCACCAGCAAAAACAAACAAACAAAAAAAGAATATATTGATCTGTACACATTAAATGTAAACCTTTTTACACTGGATAGAACCCAAACATGTTTATTAACCATAGCAAAAAAGTTACTATCGTATAAAATGTGTTCTGGACCATTCAAGGAAGCTCGATAAAGCCGCAGATATAGATACCGTAAGCCTGTTGGAGGAATTCGATTTGATCTAATCAACTAGGCTAGAGTGAAATTAAGGATGTACAGACAAAAGTAAATTGCTAAAGCACTGAAGTGGACAGAGGTGCACAGCAAACACATTCGTTTTTATACTGCAGGAAGGATGAACCAGGGTGCTCCACTGTCCTGGTAAGTATTGCATTAAAAGAACCGCCAGCAGCAGAGAGTTGACTTACCTTGTTAAACACTCAGCCGCCTGAGCGCACAGGAGCGTCACCACAATCCACTTCATCGCGGGGTCTGAGCCCTGAAGCAAGCCCGTCTGCCTGGCTCTGTCGCGGTGACTCTGAGGGTCAGCAGCGCGGGCACAGGGTTTCAGGTCAGACTGCACCTGCAGACTGCGTCCACACAGCGCTTAACCCTTCCCGACCTGGCGCAGTCCACAGCGCTGGCTTGAAGCGTGCGCGTTGCTTCGGTGTGGGTGCAGGAGCATGGGAGGTGTAGGCCCAATGTCGGGTCATAACGCCAGCTGGGCCTTTTACAGTGATGCCAATTAACCACTGTAATATCACACTACTACTGCTATAACAACACTTACCTAAAATGTCACAAATAACATAGGTATGTGCCATGCAGTGCAATTTAGACACAGGAGTGCAAGAGTTGGTGTGGGTGAACATGCAGGCATCTGCGTGGAGACCATCACATGCCCACTGACCCCTGGACACATATTACAAAGGAGGCACTTCAGCTCAGCCAGCCCACTCCATTTTAAACATTTTTTGCTCAACAAATACATATCCTGAATCCAATCTGTCCAGTTAGAATTCCACAGGTACCAGATAAAGTCACATTAAGGAAAGGAGGTGAGGGTGAATGGCCTTCTGTTGTACTGTATTATAGCCTTTTGTCCACTTGTTTTGATATTGTGATTTTTAACTCTTTGGTTATGGATGGCCACACACATTAGGCAAGTTGTAACCTTTAGGAACAGATTAACACTTTGACCCATATTCCATTACTATGAATTATTGGTGGCTGAAGTGCCTTTGACCATTCACCTATGCTACAGTGCATTACATTACAGCTATGTTTCAAATAAAATTCGAGGCCTGGAACTCTCCCTCCTGTAATATTGTAGATCTCTGTTGGCTCACCTCCCTTGTCAATGCAATCTGCTCACCCTGGCTCAGCCAGAGTTCTGCCACGTGTCTTGTCTTCAATCGCACTCCGCCAATCTCTCTGCATGCTCCCTATTTTGCCACACAATCCTAATCCTACTCGATTCAAAAGACTTTGCTCTCAAAAACATCCCACTCCTGTCGGTCTGTACCCTCTTATCTCCCCCAGCTCTTCTGCCCAACTGCCTGCTTGCTCTTCTCCACTGCTGTTCCTCAGGAGTATGTCCTTTCATAATTTCTCTTATTGGCTATAACCATGGCACACATACCAATTGGATTTTAGATTATTGCTTTGTCTGTACATCTTTGATATAATTTCAGTTTATACCACTCTATTAATTTATTTTTGTTCCTTGTTGCACTTCCTGCTAATCCTATTGTCATATTATTGAACTTGCATGTTACCATATTTATCATATCCTTTGTACTTAATTTCAAATATCTGTATGGTGCAAGCCACCCTGGATAAATGATAAAATGCACTTTATAACTAGCATCACTCTGGAATGCATACAGTTAAATGGAGAAGGAGGCCACTGCTGCCCTGCTGTTAGAGCCAGTGTTTGTCATAGCAAGCGTTCATGCACACCTGGGGCAATTCGACCTCACAATGAGTCCAACACACACTGCCTATTTCATTAATCAATCATTTTGTAAATTATCTACAGCTCATCTGCTCAACTGCAGCATTTCAGAATCACCCCCTTTGTGAGGTCCTAATCACAATTGGGGTTTTTTTAATAGTCACAAATGAAAAACAAATCCAGCTTCTGAAAAACAAGAGTCATGTTCCTTGTTCACCTTCCAATGTCACTAAAATGTGACCTCACCATCCCTGCGGTGACTTTGACACTGACCACCATTAACTATATAAACACATCAGTGAAAAGAAATAAAACACCAGCAGCTGAAATTTGTAATTTAACTATGCTCCAACTCAGAGTGGAGTACTGGGTCATTCAGTTGAAACATCAGCAATCTGATGGCTTAAACTGAAGTAAGGGTAAAATCCTCTTACAAAAGACAACTTAATAGACAAGCAGGACCACATCAGTATGTTACTCAATTAACACAGTTCTGTGGGAACAAGACATACAGGTAAACTTGTTTCTTTCCTGTAAATAAACACTCACCTTTTTAAGCCACCTGCTGCACTTCAGTTACTTTTAACTGTCTATTTTGGCCAGACAGGCTGAACGCTATTAGAGTTTAACTAGTTAAATAGGTTGAAGCCGCACATTACTCCCTGTGAAAAGACATCGTAGTTCAGGTCCTCTACTACGTGCTATGCTTTGCTCAAGCTGAACTCCGATTAATTAAACCCCAGGTGTAACTGACAATTTGTGAAAGAGACCAACTTTGCTTTTAGCTGTGCAGCTGTATGAGCTACTTACCTGTAACTTCCTGTCAGCAACCTGAAATGTGAAGAACAATTAAAAAGGTGTAATCAAAGTAATAGCTGAAGTAAGGAACAATGTCCCAACTAGGATAAAAACAGCTAGATGCTACAGTGCACAAAAACCAAAAGTGAGAATTTCTGCTCTGAAGAATCCCAGGAGCTGGTTTGTGTGCCTGGGCTAAAATATAGAAGAAACTTAAAATTAGTGTTGCATTAAGTCTTAATTAGGACCAGGGAATACCACTTTATCTGCACCTGACTCAAATGACAGCACAGCACTTTGATATTCAATCAATTCTTGGGACTCGGTGGATAAATTAAAGGTTCTGCTTCATTTTTAAAAAGGATTTATCGCTTTCAAGAAAGGAATCCCTGCAAACCCTAATAGAACAAATGTGAAAAAGTCAGTCATTGGAAGTGTACACCTGTTCTTTTTTATTCAAGCAAGTTAGAAAAACAAGGAATGTACTGGTACGTCAAAATCAATATACAGTCAGCACTAGATGAAAGACAAGTCAATGGCAAAAACAGGAATAGCTAATGGAGGGAATATTTTGTTGCACATAAAAGAAATAGATTTTGTAACTGAAATATGCATAATGTTTATGGGCCAAGATTCAGTTCAGACTTTGACACAATTTCAAAAACTCTTCTGTTCAGCTGTAGTAATACATCTCTGGGAGCAGGATGTTAACCAACGTAATCAACTCAAAATTCAACCCAGCGGATTTCATTGGAATGAGCAGTGAAACATGAGCCAAAGGGCACAAGTGGGAACTAGGTGGGAGCACATTTAAAACGGAGAACAGGAGGCAGCTCTTTACCTAAAGGGTTGTGGGTGTATGGAGCAAGCCATGTTGCTGGAGCCAATACCTTGGTGAATTTCAAGATACTGTAGATCCTACACAATACGAAATGGGCAATATAATCTGAACCTTTTTATGTTCTTAATCTGAATTATAGACTTTTAAAATCAAATCAGGTAACCCTCTTGTATTTTAATTGTTGAACAGTTGCAACCAGGTATGTAAATACTGTGGTAAACATGGTATAATATTGTAATAACTAACAGAGACTAGCATAGTTAAGGTCCTTAAAATAAATTTGGACTTTATCCCACACAGTGTTTTGGTCATTTTAACCAAACTGTTCTGACAGTTAATTAACCACATAACTGATTGACAGACATTTCCAGGTTAAATGGAATTGGAAGTCTAAGACGTAGGAAATCCTGAGCTTAAGGGCTGAATTCTATTCCTTAGAAAGAGAAGAACAAATGGAATTGCTTTTCTAGGAACCAAGGTGCATACAGTACATCAAGTATCCTATAGCGGTTCTCTGAACACCTTGTTAACCCAGAGACGTAACAGCAGCTAATGAGATACCTCTCTAGCTGTGTCCAGATATGAGAGAGATCAAAGTTGGCTTCAGTGTTTAAAAAATAAAAAAAAATTCAGTCTGAATCTGAAATGTCCTACAGATCTTATTGAATTAATAAGGGATAATATACAATGCACTTCAAATATATTCATATGAAATGGGATTTGTAAACCATAAAATTCCAAAAAGGTATACAGATTGGATAATATTTCATGTTTAGAAAAATCTAAAAATGTTACACAGTAACCTTAACAGCACTGCACAAAACAAGACCATATTTGTCATTAATTTAAGTCCAGAAAATTCAAGAGTCGCATTTATATCTTCCCCTCTAGCTATGTTTTTGTAAATCTTCCTCTGGCAGGGATTTGTTTTTGTTCATACAGTATTTAATTAGGGTTAGGAATAAATCTGGTTGTCAATATAAGTATTTTACCCTTATGTTGGTGATGCAGCTACGTTTGCATAATCTTTCACAATCTAGTAGTGCTGACGCCCCAGTCTCACTACACAGAGTTGTGTTTACTGAGCACAGTACTTGAAATGAGCACCCTGGTCTAAGCAGACAACTCTTTTATCTAAATTTAACATTAATGGCATGGTGCCTGGTTCCCTGGATTTTCTCTCTCGGTCTCTTAATGTAACGAAATATTTTCTTATCTGGAAAAAACATTGTTTTTCCAGGTTCTTGAATTAAAGGGATCAGTGCTCAGTATTCAGTCTCTGTCACTGCTGTACAGTTTGAGTTTCCTTATTGTAAAGCTGTTTTCACCAGGAAAGCACCTCAGCAGCCTGTGTTTACACACAGGAGAAGATTTAGAGCAGCCCGATATCTCCTGAAATTTGTAAAATAAACAGACAACTTCATTTTCTTTCACGATGGGCTGACAAACTGCAGGCGCCCCAGTCCAGGCCTTTTCAACTCCGACCGGCTTGGGAGAAGCTATTTTAAGACCATGATAAGAAAGAAAAAACTATGTTCTTCATTTTCAGTGTTGTTCATTCTTAAACTTATGCTTCCGGCCCTGTATGAATTACTACTTCGGAAAGAGTTTGCTCAAGCCCCAGTACGTTTAACCATCTGCAAAGAGAGTGAGGCAGATGGTTTATTTTGAATGGAGATGGTATATGGGAAATGTCCCAAATTCTAGGAATTGGTGTAGAGAGAAGGACCACTTAAGTGGGCTGATAATGTCAGGTATCCCAGCCGTTCACTAGCACAGAAAGGGCAAGAGCGTGACTGAACTCCAGCAGCGTGTGCTGCTACAATCTACAATCACCCGGCACTCCCTCAGCTATCGCAGACATTCCACAGCCACAGAAAGACTGCAAAAGCGATCCGTTATAGGAGGGACTCTGCCTGTTACTCTGTTCAGTTGCACAAGGAGCTCCGTTTCTACAGCAGAACGTTCTAGAAGCAGCATGACAAAGCTATTAACACTGAAATTCCTGGGATTTTTCTAAGGCGTTATCCAGGTATGGACACTCTCTCTTTGTAGCATTTTTTCACCCCTGTAAAGTTGTTGTAACTTCAGAAGAAAACTAGAAGCACGAGGTACGTGGTTTTCTACTGAACAGTTAACCAGTAAATTCAAGCTTCTTTAAACCTGCGTGCCGATTTTCTGATGGATGTGGCTTGAAGGCCCGACGATGGGGAACACAATTCGAGGTGTGGTTGCCTTTATCCCTTCTGAGAAATGCCAAACATTCCTGGTGGGGGAGTTGAAGGAGATGCCCATTGACCGCATGGTCGACCTGAGCGGGAGGCAGCTGCGCAGGTTCCCTCTGTTGGCGTGTCGCTTCAGCGAGCTGGTCAAACTCTACCTGAGCGACAACCACCTGCAGAGCCTGCCCCAAGAGCTGGAAGGGCTGAGCAAGCTGCAGATTCTGGCACTCGACTTCAACCACTTCAGAGAGCTCCCCCAAGTGGTGTGCAGCCTGAAGCAACTCAACATCCTCTACCTGGGTAACAACCGCTTGCACTCCCTGCCCTGGGAGCTGAGCCTGCTCACCGAACTCAAGGCCCTCTGGATCGAGACCAACTACTTCAGCGAACTCCCGGCGGTCATCAGCCAGCTGGCCAACCTCAAGACCCTCCACTTGGGCTACAACCAGCTGCGCTCCCTGCCCGAGGAGCTGGGCCGCCTGAAGGAGCTACGCAGCATCTGGCTCTCGGGAAACCTGCTCTCCGAGTTCCCCCCCGTGCTGCTGGAGATGCACTTCCTGGACGTGATCGACGTGGACAGGAACAGGATCCGCCGCTTCCCCAGCCTGGCGCATCTCCGGGGCCTGAAGCTGGTCATCTACGACCACAACCCCTGCGTCAACGCGCCTGCCGTCTCCGAAGGCGTCCGGAGAGTGGGGCGGTGGGCCAACAACACGGAGGAGGCTGGGGAGGAGAAGGGGAATAGAGACGAGCAGCCGCCGCCACCAGCCGACACCAAGGAGCTCCCCGCAGAGGAGCAAAGCGAAGCCGAGCAGGAGGCCGCAACCTAGGCCGGACAGCGATCAAACTCCTCATGACAAAGTCCCGTTTAATTTCAGGAGCAAAGCCACGCTTCATGAGCAAACAGTACTCATTATTCACTGGTAGGTCAATCCGCTGTACGCTAGTGGCTCAAAATGTTATCTGTATAATCAGTTTAAATACAGGATAATGTGACTTTCCAACATCTATGATGACACAGACCTGACAGAGAAACGTTTAAGGGAGATGTACTTTGGCAAAACAACATTTCCACATACAACCGAGGACTCTAATGTGAGGGGGAAAAAAAATCTCAAAACTTGCTTTCCAAACTCTGAGTTTAGGACTGTTAGAGAATACTTAATTGGAAGAACGTATAACTGCATTTTTTATCATATGCATACAAATACTAATAAACATTCATGTTTTAAATAGATTGTAGAGCATTGTCAGAATTTTGCTCAGCAAGAAAACTTTCTTCCTGAAAGAAACCATCTCAGCTGAAGGTCAGTAGCAGGACTGATTCAATGGTATGGTATGTCATTTAGGATAAACAAGCCAGTAGTTCAAAGTCACCACAACCTAACAAGTGAAATATTTTTATGAACTCGATAAGTAAGTTCAGCAGTAGTTAATATACTCTATGCAAACTACACCTAACGCAAGCTCGCCACTAATACTCGAAGATTAATTCCGATTTCTGAACACCTGACATGCATACTCCTCAAACAACAGTTTGCAGAATAAGTTTACAGACTTGTTTGGCTCTATCACAGATCTGTCAAGTGTCTCTTTGAAGCCACATTTTTTGCTTTAATCTTGAGCTACACATTCTCCACAAGGATTGTTACAAAAACATTAACATAATGAACAGGTTATTCACACTTGTTGGGAGAGAAGAATTAACTCTTTGAGAAAAAGCTCCACGCTTATAAGGCACAGGTTTACCCTTTATCATCTGGTTTTCTATACCTTTTCTACATCTAAAGCTCTAATTATCTCTCACGTTTAATTGTTTGCTTCTTGGCTTATCAGTTGCTTGAGTTTTAGGATGCCAGTTTGCCAATATCATAACATGATTGTTTTATTGACTGTTTCTTGCAGTTAAAGAAAAACTGCATTCTAATTCTTAACACTTAAGGAGCTAGTTAGTAAACTACCTTTCCACCCCAAATCAAAGTTGATCTGTTTGGGACTGCAGACCTTAAATGAGAATTTAAGACTTCAATAAACCACTATTCTGACAGGGGCCATTAGAGATCAGGTAATCAACAGACACAAATTCAGTTACAAATAAAATACAAAAAATGTATCAGTAACTTTGGAATAGAAATTTCAGTTTAGAAGTAGTAAAGAATAAAAACGGACTAATGGAAACTTCAAATATCTAATCATATGAGCCATGATGACACCGATTGACACTGTTTTGTGTTAAAACTTTCAACTGGGCTGTCAGGAACAGGATGCCTGACATGCCATTGTAGGTTCTCACTCTGTAACACTGTAAATATTAAAATAAATCATTTGAACTTGTGAAAGACATGGTTTGTATTAAAAAAAGAGCATTTTAAAGGACAATCATACAGTATACTTCTTACTGACTGTATGCATGGAGCCAGATTAATAATTCACATTTATCCTTTGCAGACATAGAACACGAATCCTTCTGAGGTGCTAAGCATAGAAATATTCAAGTATCGTTGAAGCGGAAACATCCGACTTCTCTTGCTGCTGTTCTGTCAGGAGGCTGCAGCTGAAATTGAACGCTTATTTTGGTCTCATAAACACTTTTGTATACCTGATCAACTTTTTCCCCCAGCCGGATATAAGGAAATTTTCTTAAAAGTCTTACAGAAGAGACAGACAAGACATTAGTAGGAAGGTTTTGCTTTAATTCTTTGACACATTTGTCCACACAGCTGTCTCCACATTGCTAAACGTAAAGAAAAACATGTTGAGTGCCTCAACAACTACAGAGCGCCTGCTCTCAATAGGAAGGCTGCCCGACAAGGCAGCATCCCCAGTGGTAATAAATAGACGAGATGTTGCCCTCCCTCTCCTAACCCTGGTCAGTCTTCAGCAGTCTCCCGCGGCCCCTTTCTTAACTCCCGTACAGACAAATCCAGGACCAAAGGCGCCATTAACATGGGTGGTGATCTGGTACTCTTTTTCTGTGGGAACACAGGAAGAAAAAATTAGGCAAATTTCAAATTGACCAATCTCAAATCTTTAGGAAAACAGTGTACATCTGTTACCGGTAGTAATCGGCACAAACACTTCATGAAAAACCTCTATCGGCAGAGGGTTCCAGACTCAAACGCGTTCACACCCAAACGTCACTCGGTTCACAAGCTGCTGAAAAGGTCTCCGCTCTAAGTGCTGTCCAGGACAGTGCAATGCACTGTGGGAACCCTGGAGTGCCGGACGCGTGTGTAAGCACAGAGCAGAGCCGCTGGCGTGACGTGGCTCACCGGGGCGCTGCCTTGATGATGCTGTCCACGCGCAGGATGACCTCCGCCGCCTCCGCCGCGCTCAGCAGCACCTGCCTCTTCACCTGGAAGCTCTCCGTCACCCCCAGTGCCGCCATGTCACCGATGTCGCCATTGATCATGTCTGGGAAGGAAACGGTACATTTCTTCTCAGCCATGTGTGATTTCAAACCAAATCGATCTGGAATGCTGAGTTTTATTAATGCCATCCAGAAACTCCTGCTATGCTGATTCAAATGGTGATGCAACAACAAAAGGAGAATTAAACTGATTTTTTAAGGTGATTTGACTGAATGTGCAGTGTTCTGTTCCTTGCTTTAAATCAACAATTTTTGTTTGCTACAAATCGCTGAATATTAAGAAGTTTGAAAACATGAGCACATAGGTCTTCTCAATCATGACTAGAAACATGAAAGTAACAGCATTAAGATTTAAAACATCGCCCAGGAGGAGAAACTATCAAACAAGTACATGATTTTTTACAGCAAACATTCGGTCCTTAATGTTGTCTGTGTGTTTTGTAATAGTTGATAAAGCACAGTCACTACACATATCTGCCCATACATTGTCTAACTCCTTCCAGCTTAGTGTCGCAGGAGAGCCGAAGCCTATTCTGGCAAGCAATGAGCACAAGGCAGGATACACTTGGATAGGACAACCCTCCATCGCAGGACACAGGACACATCGTTCACACCAGGACCAGCTTATTCCCAGAAGCCAATTAACATACCAGTATGCATTTGGAAACCCACACAAACACAGGGAGAACATACAAACTCCATGGAGATAGCACACCAAGAACTGAACCCAGGACCCACTGTGCGTCGCTGATGCCAAATACCCTAAAATCACCAAGAAAAGGCATACTCACCTAATCCAAACGTGGTCTTTCCCTCCATATGAGCAGCCCTGAGCTGAGCCACTAAATCTGTACTATCATAGCCAGCATTGTCAGCTATAATCGTGGGAAGCTGAAACAAAAACACTCAGTTAGACTACTTTTATCTGACACAATAATGTAAAAGGTTCTTTTTCCAGCTTCTCTGCCCCATTCAAGAACATTTACTTCTTTTATATGCTACTCTCGTTAAATGAGGAATCCTATCGGTCTTCCCCCAAAATCAAACCGAGATCTGGGTGGCTTGCTTCTCCACAGATAAAGTTAGGGCTTTGTGAGGATCCTCTACATTCCATTACCAGGTGTCACTGAATCCTTTGCTATGCTGACATTTATTGAACTTTCTCCATCAAGATTTCTGGTGCGTGGTGCCAGGGAGGAGCACAGGGAAGCCTGGAGCCCTGCTGCTACCGTTGTCAGATCCATACCGCACTGTATTCCTTCCACTTCCGTATGAAAAGAAGGGCAGTGAAGGAGTTGAGGCTTTTAAAACTAGTCAAACTGCCTTCATAAAAGTATTTTGCATGAAAAGACTGATGCACACTCTGAAATGTTTAACATTGAATTGAACCTCAACCCTTCCACTCTGGGTTTCTAAGTAGAAAGGGGACTTCTCTTCCTAACCAACACAGAGCAGCTCCAAATCACAGCCAGGATCGTTTTCTTCAGCAAAGCTGATGCAAGTAATGAAGTCAAACTTCTGGATCTTTTGACGATGAACAAAAATACAAAGAAGTGAGTGTTGTCTTCAGTTTCAATCAGATTAAGCAGAATCAATATTCTTCTTTGAGATCTCCAATTCAAAAGCACAAACAAATGAAAACAAAGGACAACACTTAATGAGAAGAATGAACAATAAAACAAATCACCATTCGCAGTGCTTTGGCAAAGGACTCCATAGCCACAGACTCTTTGCCTGGTGTTCTGTTTGCCAGGTCTGTCACCGCCTTTGCCATCAGCATCTCTGAGCATCCTGGTAAGAGAAGAAGAGAACGGCAGGTGAGCTGATAGCTCAATCTTCAACGACGACAACAAAATGAGGTGTGAGATCTGCCCTTCATCTGGGACAGCAACCAGCCCAGCCTCACCTCCGCCATACACCGTTCTAGTCTCCTTCACTGTCTGAGCCAGGACACACAGGGCATCGTGCAAGGACCGCTCTGCCTCGTCCAGGATCTGCTGCGTGGCTCCACGGAGCACAACAGTGCAGGCTTCGCCTTCAGAAAAATACAACAAAATCTCAGCTCCAGGCTCCCTGCGAACCTCCGTATGTAACAAGCTCTTGAAATAATCTGTAGAAGAGCAGTCTCATCCAGACCAGAATGGACAAACACCATCTTCCTGAAGGCTAAAAGGACCGAGCATTTTAAAGCATGATTTAATGGAAAAGCACATCAACTTAATCATTCCGTGACCCTCTTTATTCATAAATATTTAGACAATTTTAAGGACTTAAAAATTAGAGAAGCTACATTGACCCACGTATGGAAATGAGGTACTCAATAATGTCGGAGTAGTACGCTCCCTCTCCTCTCAGCGTTGTGGACGTGAGGCTTACCCATTGCAACCCCAGAGAAGTGGATCATCTTGTCCTCACCGATCATGACTTCCTCAATCAGCTTACAGTGACCCAGCTTCACCAACTCAGGGTGGTCAAATGTTGAGGCGATTTCTCCACCTGACACATGGGCAGTGTTTACAGAAAATTAACACACCCAATTCTCCAGAATCAACAGGGAAACACACACAAAAGGACACAAGGGGAAACTAGGTGGAAGTTTAAAGCATTTCAAGCTGGAGGCATTGTTTCACAAAGAGGTGTGGGAACACGTTATTCAGCCTTGTTGGAGAAACTGATACTCTGGCTTCCTTGGAGAGAAGTCTGGAAGACATCCTCGGATGAATTGGCTACGTGTGCATAACCTATTACACACACTTTTATACAACTTTAACAAAACTCAAGATTACTTGGTACGTGGAAAAAAATAATCACACCAAACCACCCCTAGATGCCAAGTATATTTCAAACAACTGTTTTCCTTGCTCATCTATGTTTATATTTTATAAGGACAAAGTATAGAATTTCTCCTCATTTGCTAGATCAATATATGCATTGGATGAAAAAATGACTATCTACACCATATAAACGGAGTTACTGGATCCATAATTTTTTAATGTTAGGACAACAAACAGTTTTGGGAAGAGTGGTGGCAACACTGCCTCAACCCAAAACCACTTTTCTAGGAACTGTAAAATGAAATTGTCTACATCAATGGTCCTCACTCCTAAACAGCTCTTAAGAGCTGAACAGACAGAGGTAGGAATGACAAGGTACCAGACTCTCACTGTGATCAGTGTTTGTACTTCTGTTTAAGACCTGTTGGTTGTATATTGTACAGTAAATTAAACTAAATTTGCCCGAGACTGTGTCTGGAGTCACCCAGGAAGACAACCGAGATCTACCGTACTGGGGTGTGTTTAGAACAAATGCCTCAGGGCAGAAAAGAAGCCTTAACGAGCAATCAGGTCAAACCCTGACAGCAACCAGCACTTCCAGCTGGAAGAAAAAAACGTTAACTCCAGGACCAGAACAGAGAGCCATTGGCCTGCACATACAAACCATTCTGGACTTTGCACTCATGATAAAGCCTTACCTGTTACAAGAGCCAGACGCTCCACACCAACAAAGTCAGCATGTTCAATGGCCATCACACCAGCTGAACCAAACAACTGCTCAGGGTAGTTATAAATCAGCTGCCTGGGGATCACAAGCCACAAACACACATTAACATCCACAGCCCATCAATCCTGGAACTGGAGGCCTGCTCACCTGCTATTTTTCACTCCAGCCCAGCTTAATTACCCAATTAAATACCCAGTCCTTAATTGTGAACTGTCAAATTCCTTGAGTGGAATATCTGCCAGTTGCTGGTCTTCACTCAAAATTCGGGAATTTTGTTTTACTTCCGAAATGCAACAGTCAGACGGCAACTTCCAAGAGTTGGAAATAATTCAAATGAATCCTATTACTATGTCAGTCATTTTGTATGCGAGAGCTTGGCTTAAACAAGAGGCAGGAAGTGCGAGGACCTCCAGGACCAGGATTGGGAAGTATAGACTCCTGGTATAGGCTTCTCTTCCGAAACCCAAACGGTTTAGTCAACTGCCATTTTTCCCCCCAAACGTGCTCCACAGCACCCAGAGCAATCTGAGTACCAACTGGAGGAACAATCCAGCTTTTCTAACTGAAGAACTGACAAGCTCCCTTAACATTACTAGTTATTTCCATCAGAGTACCCTGTGAACCACACTGGCAATGTCCTTTCCCAGCAGTGTGTCAGTTTTACCCCCACCCATCTTTCCTCGTCCCGTTCTGGATGCTGCTCAAAAGAGCTGTCCATCAGTGACAGAACCACAACCACAAGTTCACAGTGATATATAAGCAGCACAGCGTTTATGTGATGGCAGTTTAAACGCACACAATGCTATCTTTCAATGCAATCATTGTTTTTCTTGTGGTACCAACGAGCAGTCACAAATTAACACTGCAGCTGAAATACGATCTCCTGATCTGTCAGCGTCCGGAGTAACGTCAGTTGGCTGAACGTCATTCACTTGTCACGTACCTGTTGATGAAACAGTTGATCCCGTGCTTCAGGATGCGCTCCACCTTCTCCTTCATCTTCTCTTTCTCCGCCAGCTCAATCTCCGCCACCTTGGCTGTTGAGTCCACCCGTACTCGCGAGCCGAATATCTGAGGGCACAGACACGGGGCGCTCAGCTCGTCCCGTGACACCAGACCCAGCCAAAGGAAACGCGATTCTACCCTATGCACTGAGATTAACTGCTGGAAACTCAATAAAATTGAGTTTTACCGGTGCTACTTCTGCAAGGCCTGTTTTGTTAAATGGCTTACAAAGCAATATCATTATAGAAAACTTTCAGTATAGACTCTCAATACAAGAGAACCAGATTTAGAATGTAATTTGCACTACATTCCCATTCATAGGCCCCTTTATTTCCTATAAATTAGAAGTCTACAGTTCTAGAATTACAAAATCAATTTAATCGGTGAACGTTCACTCTTACCTTGATCTTATCGGTGTCCATGCCAGTATTCGCAATAAGTATCTTTGCATTCTCAATTCTTTTGGGCTGGTTGACACCAATCTTCTTGTCAAGCAAAAAGCCTACAAACAGGGGCAGAAATTAGCAACGCAACAACTCTCCCCATCATCTCATTACCGTCGAAAGGGAAGTGCAATTTAAATTCCACTTTCAGGGCAGTATAATTTAACACTTCACAAAAACAAGGCTGCATACAGGAGTGCTACTGCAGAGCTTTCTTAAACAGCAAGCCAAACTCAGCCGTAGCGTAATCCCCGTGTAATACAGATGATTTTAGCTGGCCAGCTCCCAGCGTGACACTTACCCTCATCCAGGTAGGAGTCGGTCAGACTTCCGCCCAGTTTCTTGATGACGTGGATGGCCTCCAGGTTCCCCGAGCCCTTCAGCCTGAGCACGGCCTCCACGGCCAGCTTGGAGAAGTGGTCCTTGTGGTGCGTCAGCAGCTTGGAGGACAGAGTGGTCCTGGCAATGTTCAGCAGGTCTTCACAGAACTTGGTCTCGTCGTTTCTGTAGAAGCGCAAGGAAGCGGGAAAACTTGCCTCACTGGACATTCAAGAGCAGCTTCCTCCTGCCTCAGTGACTTAAGTGGCGGCTGGAGGTATTCGTTCAGTTCAAGGCCCCCGACTTCTTTCACAAACAGAGCTGGATGAGATTAATTCATTACTAGCTACCAAAGATGGGCCCAAAAAGGCCACAAATGAGAGGAGGCCCTTCTTATGTTCTTGTGCTCCTAACACTCACACTTCTCCATGGATTATACATGCTCTCACACAGCTTATTCTGCGATACAGCAAAGCAAAGCATCCTTTACAAAACCACCCCCCTACTAAAACTCCCTCAAGATGCGTGTACAGCAAAATCCCAGTATCTGACAGGGATGCAGTGCACTCTACAGTGAATCAACAAATGAAGAATCAATCCTCCCCACACGTATTACTGCAAGAAAAGGATTCGATTCAGGGACTCAAAAATTGTATTCACGCTGCATTAAAAACACTTTTGTACCTTTATTATTTTCCTTAATATAGTAACAGTGCACAACACAAAAGCATTCATTCAATTTTTTCCTTGTTGCTTCATGCAAAATGTTTACTATAAAAGGAATTACACTATGTAGACACGGCTTAAGCACTGTACATTGTTTATTTACAATACAGTGTGGAAATACATGCAATAAGGCACTGGAATATTAAAATGAAGGTAAAATGCTCCATTTACACCATGATGGAAAGTGGTTCTATGCGTTTTTGTGTGGTTTGCTCCAAATCCTGCCTGATGAAAATGAAAACCGAATCCCGCTATTAAATAGAGCAGCAAAAGCATTTGCAAATGAATGTCTAGCGGGTTGTTACTCTACAAAACAAAAACCTGGGGCTTTTTCGTCCCCGGCTGCAGTGACCCCTGGTGGAAAGACTCACACAGTTCTCCTTCTGAGGGAATCTGCTTACACGAACTGTTCAGACAAAGAAACGGCGAGCTGTTTTCACAAGCGAGCCCTCCTCACCCGTGATCCACAGCGGCCGCCTTCAGGGCTTCTCTGGCTGCTTGGGTTGCCTTCCTCCACCCAGAGATGATGATTTGAGGATGGAGCTTCTTTGCAATGAGTAGTTCAGCTTCCTGAACAACATAGCCATGATTTCAAAATAAAACATCAGCTGCTGTTTTTGTCTGCATTTAAAGCACCATAACCCTTAGCACAAACTGCGTCACACTACAGTACCCTGCTCGCTCTTGAAGTTGTCCCCAGTCACACTAAACCCAGGGGACTTAGAGATAACAGTGAGTATTTCTGTATTATCCTGTAACTTCTAAAAAAAAAAAAAAAAGTGTTGTACAACAATACACTGTACATTCCAAAAAACAATCTTGATGCACATCACTTAAATGGAAAATACACTGAAGTCTAGCTATAGCATAAGCAAACTGAAAGTGCTGAAAAAACTAAAAAAAGCATTTAGTACTATATTTAAAAGTGTGCACATCGCAATCTTTTAGTACAATCTCTTAATGTGTCTGTGTGTCCATCTCAAAGGTATCTTGGTTCAACAGTCTTCCAATACCTCAATGGAAATTGTGGAAATGGCTTTCATACTGAATATATTATATATTATATAGACTGAAGCACAACATACAAGGTACAGTGCAATAGTTTTCACTGTTAACACTTCAAATATCACTTAAAAGACTGTTCGAGGGATGCATTCTTTTGGTTCAAAGCCTAAGAGGCAGCACACCTGTATGACTTACCCTCAACAACTCTGCAGCAAGGACTGTGACAGATGTGGTACCGTCCCCAACTTCATCATCCTGGACTTTGGACATGTCTGAAAACACACAACGCAGCCATGCTGGGGACTCCTGTTTTTATTAAACTTCCTCTGTACCGTGTTCTTCTGCAGCAGCAAAGCCTTAGGCGGTGAATTTAAACATTTCGACAGCCCAGTCCCGATTCCAGCCTGCACAAGCTATGATGAACAGTAACACTAGGTGTTGTCAATCCCACACAGCCACTATTTCTCATTCCAGCCCAGCGGAATGACTTAACTGAAGCTTTCCCGGAACTAATGAGTGTTTAGCAGGAATAGTCTCAAGTTTTTGCTGCTCAGGAGTTTGGCACCATATTTTACTTATGAAATTCAGTACTTAGAAAGCAACTTCCACTGTTTCAAATGAATTGATTAAGGGGACTCCTGCAATAAACTAGATGAAACAAGACACAGATATACCTCCCCGTCTTATGATGTAAATATTATCATTTATACTGGTCCTTTGCATATTTTGGTTTGTGACTTGATTAAGCGCCAGGATGTTCTAACACTGCTGCACTGCCAGTCTGACCCAGAACACCATTAACCCAGGATGATTGATGACGACAAACTACTAGATGACTCAGATGAGCCAAACAGTATCCCGTCTCTTGTAACCTTGCTTATACTCATCTCATAGATCTCACCTACATTCCGAACCTTATTTAGTAGTATTTCTTCACTTGGCCTTTGTATTATTGGTTTTCAGTTCTCAAAATGCTTCGGTAAACTGGCTAAGCCTTCATCATGTAAGTCAATGAAAGCTGGCGCGGTGCACTGCAGTACATGGGCGAGACACCCAGCTGCAGCCTGTCAGTAGGAACATACATGTAATAAAACAGTCACGCCTACAGCAGGGCACCCCTATTTCCTCACACTGAACACAAACCGCACACTTACCAACCAGCACTTTCGCGGCAGGGTTGTCAACCCCAATAGCTTTCAGAATGGTGGCCCCGTCATTCGTAACTGTCACAGAGCCATCCCTTCCACTGCTGAGGAGAATCTTGTCCTGTATAGAAGACCACAGGCTCCATTAGAACAAGAAAAGTCAGGACCCATCAGTCCACCACACATGCTGGGTTTAGGACTTTATTTTTTGCCTCACAGCATTGTTACCACTTCGTGGCCCGCTAAAGAAAACCAGTTCAACCGTTTCCTGAACTGCACTGGTTCTCAGTCCTGGTGACCCACACACCTGCTGGTTTCCATTTCACCCAACATTAATCAGATATCTGAAGCCTTAAGTGATCTAAGAATTTGCTTCATTGTAACATTTGCATTTTGTTTCTAGTCACAAGTTTGGGATTTTATTTCTCTTACTAAATACAGCTGTTCAAGCCCCAACACTTTTAAGATCAGGGAACAAAGAGATAAAATTAAGCTTATTGAGTCAATGAGAGGTTTGAACAAAATCCAGCTAGTGTGTGGCTCACCAGGACGAATCACTGGAATCACTGCTGTAAAGCATGGGGAGTGTGGATCATGCCCGAGTCGGGTCTAAAAAATGTGAGAAATAATTATGCTGCAATTATACGACTGCAAACAAATGTCCAAAATCAGCGCAAGTGTATCAGGACAGGGACACTGTGCTGTAGGAAGACATGATAATCTACTGTATAAGAATGTAAACTAAGAATAAGAATTGGATTCTTACGTTGAAAGTTGGATAAGAATCCCAACTATTTGGTCAATAAAAATCCCATGGCACCGCAAGGGTGTGTAAACTCTGGCCTCCTGGCTATACTCCACTCTGGGTTAACACAATCTGGCCTAACTCAAGTTTGCTCTTAAGTCAACTGGTCAACCAGCTCTTAACGTCTCCCACTGGTCTACAGCAAGGTGGGGCTACAGGTCCATCAGCCAGTATACAAAATACCTTCCAATCTTAACTTTTAATCCTGTAAATATCACAATTTGTACTTCAATGGGTGGCCTTTTGCATATTTTGCTTTGCAACCTGATTAAATACCAGGATGTTCTAATATCGCTGCAGTGACAGTGACACATTGCACTGCTTTGACATTTCATTCTGAAAGCTTCAATCGCTGAGCAGCATCAAATGTCAAGTATGATAGTGTACTGTTGAATCATCCAGTAGTGAGCATGTTGATAGAGGGATATTGAACACAGACGTCTTTTCCATTTAATACACAGTCTGTGGAATCATTGATAACGACACATACCATTCCCTTCGGTCCCAAAGTGCTTTTCACCAGATCTCCAATGGCTATGGCACCAACAAAGGAAGACTAGAAAGGGAAAGAAAACACAGAAAAAAGTAACATCCTGAACTGGGATTCTGCACAATGAAAACAGCTGTGTGCGTTCTTCAGGTACCTGCTGTAAGGAGCAGCACTTACCAGTCGGGCTGTTTCTGCTTTCTCCTCATCTGCACCAGATCTAAAGATGTTCACGGGAGCCAGTGAGAGGGATGCCTGCAGAGAAACCAGGTTCCGACATTACTCAAGTTTTAAAGGTCTATTTAAACCTGTTATTATGTATTTACGAAACCAAAAATAATACAACTATACCAAAACATCATTTTCTAATAGTGGGCTGTAATTATTTACTGGCCGTCTTTTAAAGTACTAAAATACCAATCTGATTCACTGGTTCATTTACCACTGAGGTAGTACGTAGCGCACAGAAAGTGAAAAGCTACCTTTAGATGTACTCTGTGATGAGTGTATTCGACAAAATCACAGCCTCTAACATGCGTAGCTGTCTAATAACCGCGACCACTACCGAACACTCCTGGAAGCGCGTCTCTGCTAAAAAAAATCGCCTCAAAACGACAAGCAAAGCCAAAACACGGGATTGTAGAGCAAAAGAGAATCACGGCGAAAACAAGGCAAACTAAAACTCGGGAAATAAATCGGCCTCGGAGAGTCAATGTTTATAAAAATCGCCAACGAGACAGAAAACAGCGAATACGCAGTATTTTAAAATGTCCCGTGAAGGAATGATCTGCCGAAGAAGTAGAACCTATTTTTCTGAGGCAAGTGCAACGTAAAAACAATGCAGTCGTTACAGAAAAAAGTAATCAAAGCGTATTTATTGAACTCCCGTTAATTCTGACTAAAGAGCATATTTCTCCCATTTTTCCCCCATTTTCAGCAGCTTCCTAGACCTTACATGGTACGATCGGCGCTCGCTAAGGTCCGCATCGCGCTGTGCGACAGTAGTCCCTCCCCTCCTAGAAACAACTAGAATCACGGCAGGGCCTCCGCTTTCTCACTTCGATGACAGTTATGCCAGATTGAATTCTCGGTCTTAATAACTCTGCCAACAGGCCGAGGTCTACAATGAAGCTGCGATTCAACGACTTACATTTTGATGTTCTTATAAAGGAATTCAGTGCGGCAAGGCCTACAATGAGCCGTGGCCCATCCATGATCTTGCAAAAACCGGTAGCTGCTTTTCGTTCATTGTAACCCTTCACGGCTGTAATTAGTGCACGCTTTTTTTCTTCTTATAAGGTTCACATGACGAACTACACCGTTAACCCAACTCTCCTTTGTGTGTACTTTGAGACAAGTTTTTTTTTTAAATCATCTCGGGATCTTTAACCAAAACCGAGAACAGCCTACAGGAGCCCATGTGCTTCCTTCCACGCCGAGCCGAGACCTTAAGTCCGGAATCTTACGCTGGAAAATCGACTCCAGAGCTACAGTGAAAAACTGGACTCTTATGACTGTAAATGAGTAGTTTTCAATCTGAAGATTTGATTATTAATTCATAAATGAAGACGCTTACCATCTTTCCGCCGGTACAAAGCACACAGCCACACAATCAACTGTCTCCTTGCGGCGGCAATGGCGTTTGTTATGACGTCACCGCGTAAGGCCTCGCCTCTCCTGACGCTGCGCGTATAAGCTTTAAGTGTCGATTCCTACCAGCTCAAAAAAGCTCTCCCGTTCGCTTAGATCACAAATTATATTCTATATCACGAGCATTACAACTGAAACAAATATGCAACGTCACCAGGAAAGAAAACGAGAATATATATATATTTTTAATGAGCCATTTTATATATTGAACAGGTATTTAATAGGCGAATTCATGATCGACATCGGTAATCAGCTTGGTTGTGTAACAAAAAGTGTACTGTAAAAGTCACAGGCTAGTGGCGTGTCTGGCCATACAATTGCTCGCTGAACAAGTGCGTGCCCGTTCGCAAGTCTTAATATTTCAAAATGTATTTTTATTTTATTCAAAACAGACAGACAGGTTTCTTATGATGTTCAGTGTGAATGCTTGTTAAAATGGAAGAACTTACTGTTGTGATAAAAAGAGGAAATTTGATATAGTGGGAATTTCTGATTATGCACTCATCACAATCACACGGAGCTTTTCTCAGCATTTCTTATGCCATTTACCTTTTCTGCATTTGCCCATAAGTATATTGAAGCTTTGTGAATGGTATCAACCCTGAACCAACGTCTGACATCCAGAACTGCTCTCATTCAGCCACTGCAGTTCGAAATGTGACCGACTGGGCCTCCGCAGAAGGAAACAAAACTTGGGACTGTGGGAGTGTCTCATACAGCATCATTCTGTTTATCAGATCATCAATTAGTAAGAACCTTTTAGTCAGAAATATGGAAAAAAAAAACAATCTAGCGAGAGGCTGTGTAAAGCTCTGTGTGCCGAGGTTGTTAGAAACAGGACAGCTGAAGTCGAGTATCTGTGACGTTCAGGACAGGCCACAGAAACAAGTATGTTTCACAAGTATGAAACAAGCAAGCAGATTGATGTAATCATCAGTTAGCACTGGAGATGTAGAGCTCACCTGGAATGGAAACCAGCAGACAGGACTCCCGCAGGACCAGTGATGGGGACTATTGTATTATTGTGCACTACTACTGATATTAGTATCAGTCTTGTCACAGAGGTCATGGAGCAATGCAAAGTAACCAGCACTTAGTATGGCAAATGAATAGCAGTTATCCCTGGGCAGGAATTAGGCTGGTGGAATACGTTGGCGATATCCTCTTTGCTAAATGTTTGTTTCTGCATCTCACTGTGGAAGCATTAAGGTCCCCAATATTCTAGATTGAATCTTCTGACGCTTTTGGTAACTAAATGGGAACTACCACCTCGAAACCTGATCATACAGACAGATGAGAGGATGAGCTCATGTTTGATGACAATTCCAAAGACGTCAATAAAAAGCGGGTCTGGTAAATAAAGGTGTTTAGCTCACTGTACAGTTTGTATTGGATATTAAATGATTCACTTGTGCTACCCAAGAAATTTTAACAGAGGATATTAGCTATTATTAGCATAATAACTTTGGTACATGATATATCACACCTTTAGCATTTAAACCTGTTAAAAAGGGCTGGTGTTTAAAAGCACTGTTATGTTATCAAACCACACATTCAGACACTAAAACTATTTTCAGCATTATCTTAACTTCTAATACAGGTGTATTTAAATTTATCACATTCATTAAGGTTCATTAAATCATATTACTGCAGCCTATGCTGAAACAGAGGCACAGGAATGTGTACATGCCCATGAAATATTTGTGCATCAAAATATGTAGATTACAGGAGAGAGGATTCTTTGAATTTACGATTTGCATCACTTCAAAAACTGGGTCAATTTTTGTGTTTTACAGGATTTTGTACCCTCTTGGTAAGAGGACCTAACACACTTAAAGACACACTTTTCCAACAAAAACATCACGTCACAAAAAAAACATTGTAGATTGTTTTTATTGCCATGCTACAAAAAATAATGTTGGCACAGATGGCATTTGACAAGATGTAGATATCACAAAATACACTTTTTTTCCTCATAACATTTGTTTTAAAAAATTGGACCATTCTGGTGAACCAATATCCATACCTGAAAAATGCAAACATCAAAATACATTTAAATTAAATGTTTGTACTTGACAGTGGTATAGCTCTGTGTGTGTTGGTTCATTTGGTGCATAGTTATTCTCCTGAATAACACAGGGAAGAGATAACAAAACAATTGAAGAGTAAAATTTTCACCTATAATGAACCCCAAAGGCATTTGTTCAAGGAACATCGTTTCCAAAAAATGGTTTGGCAAGGGTTTTTGTTTTAAACTACAATTTAATTGATTTAATAAACAAAATCTATTAAACTACTTTTATACACACTTCCTACATTTAGGCATTTTTATGGTAGGTAGAAAAACTATCATTTTTAATAATGCATGTTAGAACATATAATAAATCTTACAATATAATACAAGGTAACTGATGAAACATTTGTCTTGAGACTTAAAATACTATGAAAATGTCTGACAGTTTCATATATGGTAAACTTTTTTTTTTGCTGCCATTATCATTCCCATAAGGACACTTGATCTTACTGGTGGGTACCTAAAAGTCAGCCAGCAGACCTGCCAAAAAATTATTCATGATTTCTAGTTATGGATAAGATACAACGAATGTTTCAATTTAAACAGCTGCAATGATTTTATCAAAGCGTTTTTTCCAGCTTGCATGCAGAAGGCAGAATAAACATGCCTGCTTGTCCAGAGGTACAGAGAGAGTATTATTAGGTGGAACTCAAACACAATTGCTCTTACAATGAGAAAGCAGCCTACAATCTTTTTAGCACACATTCAGAAGGTAAATGTACCGTTTCCTTTCAAAGAATGTGAAATTCGGCAGATACGCAGTGGAGATGCACTGTCAGTAAACAAAATGGGTTCTTCAGGTACTGAAACTGAACAGGTAAAAAACCAACAGCATGTAATGTGTTATTCAAGAAAAGTGAATAGAAAAGTAAAATTGAAGACATTGCTGACTTTTACCAAGACACCAGTGGCGCGCCGTGACAAAACCAACCCGGTTCATATGGCCCATGCCTTCCCAGCTCGTTTAACCGTAACACATTCAGTGCAATAAGTATACACACCTACAAAATTAGATATATAACATTAATATAGAGACAGATGGAGAAAAACTTCAGTGGCGAGTCAAATAGAAATAAAAATGTTTTGAACAATGTAACATTTGATCCCGTGAAAGATCCAGCAGTACAATAATTTAATTCCACTTTAGCCGCAAGAAGTCTATCACCACCTTCTTCCAGCGTCAGCACAAGTATTCTTGCTGTATAGTATCTCTTTAATGACAATCTCAAGACAACTAATTTGCCATGTTTTATGAGCAAAAAAAAAGGGGAGAATTTATACAAGATGCTTCTTCTAACACGTCCTGTTCATAGTCTAAAACCTACGGATTAATAAATGGAATAATCCACACAAGGAGCACCTTTTAGAGTGGTTCAAACAGGAACTTACTGCAGACCGTACCACAGAAGCATCTCGGGTCTAACCAGGGACAGAATCCACCTTAACATGAGAGACTACAGCAACAATAAACCTGTTCTCCTTCTGGCTAAATTACATGGTAGTCAAATGGAAGTCACATGACAGAATAACCTGCGGAAAATCACTCCTGGCCAACATACAGATGAACATGACTGGCTAACCTTCACAGAAACTGCTGTCGTTCTTTTTAACTGCTGGCTATTGTTTTACAAGTGAGAGTGAACTGATGTTCAATTTTAGATCACGAGGGGCCACTTGGAGAGCAATCTGATGTCCTCAATGGCAAGACACCGCTGGAAATGGGACAAAGATGATCATTAAATCTCATTTTGGAGATTTTTTTCTTATTCCACCAAATCACAGAGTCACCGAAAAAGGAATGTTTAGAACAACCAACCCCCACCCCCAGAAAATATCAGATCATCATAGAATAAGATAGTGTTACATGGCAAGTACCTGGTCTACTTTAATTCCCTTTAAAGTCAGCACAACGTACAGTGTAAATCCATGACTAGCTTAAAGTCTCCAAAAGCTACTGTATTTGGAAAAGAAAGTAAAATATATCTGAAGCCCTTCTGTCCTTAAGAGTTTTGTTTTTATCTGGAAAAAAAGGTGCAACTTCACACAGTGCTATCTAGGCTCACATAGGCAGGTCAGTACTGTTGTGTCGTGTTTTCCTTGAAGTACCATCATCGCGTGGCAGTGCCTTCTGCAAACTAGACATGGCAGCAGTCCGCTCGATGTCTATCACTGCATACAGTTCTGTTCTGCGAGTCGGAGTCTGTGGGAGAGGGGTAGTGGGGGTTTTGGGGGTCTGAGGGTTATCTGAATCACTGCCTCTCTCCATCTCCACCTCAATGTAGTTGAGCTGTCTGTGCTCCAGACTGGGCCGCCTAAAGTCAAAGTTAAATACTGTTGGGGTGCAATCCCGGCGCCGCGCGCTTTCCAGCTTGTGGGCACTCAGGGGGACCGTTACATTCTCCGTGTTGACGTAGTTGTGCATGGGGTCCAGGTTGTGATGGTAGCCATTCAGAGATGGCGTCTTTGGTCCAAAACTGTCTTCCTCCTCCTTGTTGGGTTTTTGGGCTTCCCAGACAGGAGGCAGGGAGGGGAGGTTCTCATAGTTCAGAAGAGCAGTTCTCCTCTGTGCAGAATTATTAGCGTTCTGAGAGTCCACACTATTTGGCGTTGGGATGGGCATCCTGCACCTGCGGCCTGCAGGGGCACTGGGCAGAGCCAAGCCATTGACGTTCTCGTACACCAGTTTATTGGTAGGCGGGCCGTCCTTGCGCTCGTCGCTGTCGTAGCCCGTGTCCCAGTCCGCGGGGTTGGGGTTGGTGCCGGCGCTGCCTGCGGCCACCCCGTTCACGGGACCCGCGGGCTCCGCGGCCTCACCCCCGCCGGCGCCGCTCGCCTTCTCCAGGCCCAGCTTCTCCTGCTTCTCCTTCTCCATCAGCTGCCTCTGGACCGGCGTGGGCCCCAGGACGAACGTGACCGCGTCGGGCTCCAGCAGCACGTGGGGCTCGCGCTCGTCCGGCGAAGCCAGCGGCCCGCTGGCGCCGCTCTCGGGGCTGGACAGCCGGAGGTCCAGAGGCGCCGGGGCGCTGCAGCGATTCCGCCGCTCCTCCGGCACCCCCGTGGTGTTCACGTACGTGTGGACCTGCGGAAGCGAAAACGGAAAAGAGCTTATTTTCCCCAAACATGCCATATTGGAGATCCTGCCACGCCCAATCCCATTTGCAGTGGCTCTAACTGGATCTTCAGAAGTGCTTGCTTCTCTGTTACAGACAGCTCTCTACTCTTCATCTTAGTCTATGCCTTCTAACTCAAGAGGCAGACCCCAAAATCAAACTCCAAACGCTGGCACCTAGGCTAATAGACAGCCACAGCCCTGTGCACCTAGGCTGTACAGTCACGAGTCTTAAGTTTTCACAACAAATGCAACATGTAACACCTGTCAGCCAGTTGTCCTAATACTTATGCTCACCCAAAGGTGGGATTGAACACAGCAAATGACATTTTTCAAACATAACTAAACATAGGAAAAATAACACCCAGAAACAAAAGCTGTAATTCATTAGGCAGAGTGGTGGCTCTGTGGCTAAGGATCTGTGCCTGTGGCTGGAAGGTTGCCGGTTCAAATCCCATGGCCAACAGAGGAATCCTACTCTGTCCGGCTCCTGAGCATGGCCCTTAACCCCAACTGCTCCAGGGGCGCTGTACAATGGCTGACTCCACACTCGGAGCCCAAGCTTCTCCTCCGTCTGTGTGTCTCATGGAGAGCAAGTTGGGGTGTGCGAAAAGAAACTCCTAATGCAAGAAATTGTATGTGGCTAATAAAGTGATCTTATCTTATTAATCTTTTGTTCTGAAAGAAATGTTATGGGTACACAACAAAAATGACAGATTTCACTTCACTGTCCCAATAATTATGCTCTTCACGATATATAATTTATAGAGCCACAAGCTTCCCTGTCTGGACAACTGGGTCTTTTAACATGTTCTGTAGCATTAAAAGTACTGCACGGCACTTCAGGTACATCAAGTGTCGCTGAAAACAATCAGCCGAAATCACATGGTCTCCATATATAGATATTGTAGAATCAGACCTTTTAGTGACAGGCATGCAAAATCATTTTTAAAAATCAGGTTGAAAATAATAAGAGGACGTCTGTCAAAAAGTAGTTTACAATGTGTCCAAACAGATCAAAACCAGGATTTATACAGAGTGATAAATCTATAAGGAAGAGGTTTTCATTTAAATTTACAAAAGCAAAGTGAATCATTAAAACAATATTATCTTAACATTCTTGATATTTAATTTTGCAGAGTTTTGTCCACTAGGGGTCCCCACATAGCAGAAGTTTCACTCAAGATAGCAGTGCTAAATCCTTTTTTCTGTGCATACAGCATGTGTGGGTACTTTTGCGTACTTCATGTGGACAATGACAAGTTAATGATTTGTGTGGACTAACAATAATTTTAAAAAAACTCCACTAACGAGAAAGATTGTCTACAGCGTTATTATTATTTAGGAAAGACTATTTTCAGCTGGAGCAGGGAGTGATCTCATTACAGTGCACTGTTATGTCTAGAACACTAAATCAACAGTGTAAGACATAACAATGAATTAAAGAACAGAAATAATAATTTACGTAATTCCTGTTGAGACTGAAAGCAAGAGAATTAGTAAGAATCATCTTCATTCTGATTGCCTCCTCATGCAAAATACAGAAAGGTTTTTTTCCCTACACAATTACTAAGTCACTCTGATCGCGATTAGTACGAAATAACAGTTCAAATTCACTACCAATGAACTGGCAGTAGACAATAACGCAATATTCTCCAATGAGAATAATGCAAGTATAAACAAGACATGACTGCTGTTAAAACTGTGATGTGGAAATGTTATTACCGGTTCATCGGCGACCAAGAGAGGATGTGTTGACTCCTCTCCCACGGAGGGAAGCCGGGTGCTCCCCACCGAGGGGTGTCTGCTGGAGGGGCGTGATGAGGCGTCGCCGAAGGAGGGGTACCGTGGGCACCCATTGGGCAGTGTGGAAGCCACGAAACCCGGAGCTGAAACAACAAAAAAAAAAAATCAACAGAAAGCCCCATGAAGGTCAAAGAAACTCACGGACACTGCAGGTATGGACTGTGGATTTTAATGCCCAGTAAGGTATGAATGTTAGATTTGGATATTTGAGAATAGTTTGATTCACAAGACTATACCTATGGTCATATTTCAAATTACAGCATCTGAATGAAAAAAAACAACACTTTTTTATTAAAGAGGAAAAGGCTATGAAAGCAAAATAAACACCACTCCAATATATTTTAGATAATGGAAAACAATGTACTGTCTCTTTTGTTATAGCACATGTGGTCTTTTCAGAAGGCAAATAAAAACTGAGAGCAGGGTGAGTGAATACACCTCTGAAACAAAGTTAATTTCTCCCTTTGGTTCATGGCTCACACAACAACCTTTTAAGATAAGATAAGATCACTTTATAAGCCACATATAATTTCTTGCATTAGGACTTTGTCTTTTCACACACCCCAACTTGCTCTCCATGAGACACAGACAGGGAGAGAAGCTTGGGGTCAGAGCGCAGGGTCAGCCATTATACAGCGCCCCTGGAGCAGTTGGGGTTAAGGGCCTTGCTCAGAGGCCCAACGGAGTAGGATTCCTCTGCCGGACGCAGGATTTGAACCGGCAACTTTCCAGCCACAGGCGCAGATCCTTAGCCACAGAGCCAACGCTCCGCCTTTTAAAAGGACCACAGGTTCCTCTCGGCTGGAGTACAAATTGCTACATTGACCTTGCTACTGACAAAACCACTCTAAAAGAAAACTGGCCGAGGACAACTACATCTCTGCCTAATACAGCAAAGTTGGGCTGCTGCTGCTTTCAATTCAACTAACAGAGATTACTCAGCGGTTACCACCTCCCTGGCTCACTTACTAGTTGGGGTTCGGGGTGTCCTGGGGATGTCTGGGTCTGTCTGGCTGGGGTTTCTCTCCATCACTGGTTCCTCCACCACACTTATACTGTTATTTTGCATGATTTCCTGGAGCATGTTGAATATCTCCTCTGCACGGGCACATTTAAATGCAAATATACCTAAAAATGAACACAACAGAAACTGTTTTCCCCCTGAAGTCAACATGAAAACAAGAATTGACGCAAAAGAGAAACATTACACCAACACGATCGCAAACACACACAAATGCACAAAAAACACTGGTTTATGGTTTCTGCTGACCCTGACACTCAAAAACAACAAAAAAAGCAAAACGGAGGAAACAAAAATAAAGGCTCAAGAAAACATCTTCAGGGTGAACAACACAAAACAACTAAGCTAAGATATGACTAATAAAAAAATGTTTTGTAACACACAAGTAACATCCACCTATGACTGGTCCAGCAATAGTGTTCACTGCAAACAGCAATACTGTAAAACTCTCCAGTATTGCTCCAGATTGTTGCGAACAGCGCAGGCAGACCAACTTACCATTACTAGTACAAATACCAGTTATGTCCAGGCCCAGCTCTCATTTGCTCATCCTTTGTAAGCATTAAGTTAAAGTTGACATTCTCACATTAACAATGACACAGTCCATCAGTCACGTGTTGTAAAAAGAGATACTGAAAAGACACTGACAATTCTGGCAGGTGCAGGTACCCTGCACGGTGTGAGCACAGCAGTGCTCAAATTGCCTCAAACTAACTGGAAGAATTTGCAGGCACCGTTTTGTCATTTTTGCCTTCCCACGTTATGGAGGAAAAATGATTACAGACAGTAAAATTGTCATAGTTTAGTTTCCCTAAACAGCACATTAGCCTTATTAACCCTTGTGTTAGAAAGCTACAGAGCTTCATATTTCCACTATAACACCACAGTACTACATTTTAACAGATTACATTGTACAGTTCCGAAAGATGGCACCAATAGTCTTCGTAGATCATTGTTAATAACATGTTGGCTGAAAATGATAAACGTTTGCAAATCTTTTTCGACAGCCACTGTAGCATCTATAATTTATTACCACCCATTTAACACAGCCAGAGCTCTGCAGCGAGTGAGGATTAGACATTGAAGCACGTGCAGAGGGATGATTACTGTCATTAGGCATTACCTCGTGTGTGAACGGATTTGTGTGTGGACGCTCTGAAACGACAGGAATGCAGGAACCGCGACGCGGTCACGGGCAAGTACTGAAGGAAGAGCTCCCGAACACCGAGGCGTGTACAGGTGCACCGGCGCGTACCTTGGCCAGTCTGGCACCGCCTCCCGCTCTCGAAGGAGAAGAGGTTGGAGTCGTATCCGTAGCGCCGGAGGCAAAGGTAAGGCCACTTCACGGCGTCGCGTTTGCGGGTGTGCAAAATCAGCTCCGTCTCCGTCAGCTCCATCACGCCAGAGCCCAGCTCGTTGCCATCGTCGTCCACGTTGGTCACCTTGGGAGGCGGGAAGGAAAAGTAAGGTACGGTATGGGCGAAAAATGGCAGACAAGCCCCGAAATCCAGACTGCTGCTGGTTCAAATCATCTGCCGGGGCGAGGCTTAAGACTCCTCCCCCACCCCAAGTGGCGGCAGCACAGGCAGGGGAGCCCCAGCGACTACCCGGCGGCGAGAGCTGCGGCAGTCCTCCCGCATCAGATAACCTGCTGTCGGGACTGTGGGACTCCCAGCACAGAACATGGCAGATTAAGTCCTAATCCACGTGTTTCGTAGGAAAATAGCCCCGTCCACCATGCGTTGGTAGGAGGGCTGCTGTGGTAATGGACCAACTCATTAGTAGCTAGTTGTTAGCTACTATCAGAGACTATTCTTAGTTTTAAATTTGGGGAGGTATAAAAAGAATAATTCAGATCTTGTTTTAAAAATACAAACCTACAGTATATGGCTAACTCATTCTTGTGGGTACTTGAAATATAATCAATTGTAATCATAAAAACGACCAATTCGGTTAAGTCATTGAGAGCAGAGGCAAAACAAACTGAAGACTGAAACTGAGACGACAGCTCTCCCGGGCACCACAGAGCCTTTAAACCCTGTAGCAGCCTTACAAATTGGGTCTCAAGCACAGTTGCTAGAGTGTCTGTTCTCAGTTACATACCTGGCTCAATTATTTGTCAGCAAAACTAACACTTTTAAGCAGGCTGTGAGGTAACCATACTTTTAATGAGGATAACATCACGTGTAATCAACTGTAAAAGAGCTTCAGAAAAATCCTGTGTGTGTCCAATTTAGAAAAAAATGTTTATTGACTACTCGAGGTAGAACAAAAACCAGGAAAGACAATACTCTTAAGGAACCGAATCCGAGAGCCCTGGACTGCAATGCTTGTACAAAGTATCCACTCATGCAATTTAGATTCACTCCAGCTCCAGCCTGGAGCAGAGGCAGATTCTAAACCAGGACAAAAACTCACAATAATAGGTGACAGCAAACACTTTTATTTCTCAATTGACACAGCTTACAACTAAACAACAGATGGGCATTCAATTTTATTTAGTTGAAAACACACAACCTACATCAGTGGTAAAAGTAATGAAAGTATTTCAAAGCTCCGACAGAAAAAGATTGCTTCAGGAAACATATCAGGATTAACAGTGTGCCCTAGCAATTTGTTCCAGTTCTGAGATGCCTTTTAACAGATTTCGTAAACAAACAGCTGACTGGCCCAGCCAGAGCTGCTGAACTTGTTTACAATCATTTCACAGAATGATGTCACACTCACTTGCGCCTTGAGCTCAGACCCACCTTAAACTTGTTTTGATGGTTATCTGGGATAGACTCTTTATCTGGACAGCTACAGCAGCTACCCATGGCTTCTTCAGAAGACCATTTGATCTCTGAAAAACAAAAGAGAAAAACATTCACCTTAGGCAGACAGACATCAATGACACTAAGGATAGTGCAGGCAACACAATACAGACTGTTATAAAACCCACAAAAATGATCAATACAGATAGATGAAAAGGCAACATTCAAATTTAGTTAGAATTGATTGAGGACAGAATCACACACCCTCATACCCTTTCAATGCAGAAAATGTTCACAAAGTACACTAACCAAAATTAACAAAATACTTAGTTAGCAAACACATGCGTTGTTTCTCATAATGGCGGTAGGGTCTGAAGGAAAATTCCACAGGGTTACAGCTTATCATTCTGGAAAGAAATGTCAAGCAGCTGAGAGCCTGAAGTTATGAGCCTTGGTTGGAATGCTTCATTAAGTTCTTTTTACTGCTTTGCCTTTAAGCTCAGATATGCCCGAAACTCATGTGGACTCATAAAGGCACTGAAGATTACGGAGTAAATGGTGGGTTTTTTTCTTCCGTACAAGAGGTTCACCAGTAAGTCACACCCACCTTGACTTACAGGAAGACAAAACGGTTGATAATTACTTCGCTTACTGTGACAAATCCAAATCCTGATGTTTTTAGAACAACCGGGAGATCACTATTACCATGAGGTAAGTAGTAACATACAGGAGAAATACCTCTCATTACTCATTAGTGTCATGAGTCTGTTTTCTGATAATGCACTGTCTCTGGGGCACGATATTGATCCTCCACTGTTCCTGCTGTACTGCCCTCGTATGTCCAGCAGGTGGCACAAGGGGCTCTGTCAGTCCGGGAACATACCTAGATCTGGCCATCAATATTCCTGGTCCCTTGCCCAGCACCTGGACCACAGTCATACTTCACTGTACCATCACGCCACCACACTTCTGATGATGTGAGCCTGAAAAAAAAGAGCAAGATCTCATTTGCACTGTGCATAGTAGACATTATAAATCATAATACTGAATACTGCAACTAAGTAACTAAGTTGGAGAAAAACAAATCTTCAAATGTTATTTTTCCCCCTGAAAAAAAACGACTTAATTCCAGAGGAAAAAAGGTTGTAGGCGTGATATCTTGTTTCATGTCCAGTGCTTTCAGAGACATTTGAAGGTAAAGGAACCTCTTTCTCTTACATAATATAAAATTGCACAACGCAATTATACCTCCTACATAATGTGAAATTGCAAATTCAGAGTTCCCCAGCTGCTTGGCAATGAAGCTGTTCAATGGCCTGCTACTTCTAGACGACAAAATAAAAATTCAATTATGGAAGAACTTTTTACAGACTTTTAAAAGACAGGAAAACATCTGATCCCATTTCTTTCTGGATTTGAAGGGCAAAACAACACATTGTGACGCAAGCATGTCTGCGGGCTGTTTTTTAAGACAAGAACTAGCAGTATCTCCGGAAATGCACAACAAAAGCCCACGCCATGAGCCCCGACACGGCAGTCTGTGACAGTCTGCTAAGCTAAGAGACCCCCAAACTCACAATCATCATCATCGCGACTGCAACAATGTACTGGACTGTCTGCATCCCAGCAAGCTGCGCGACTGTCGCAGCTCTTTCAAAACAGTCCACTGGCATTCCAGCAACACCCTCAAAACCTCAGATGATACAATGGCGACATGCAATTTAATACCACTGGGTGTAGAAACCACTATTTTCCCCCCTATACGGGTTCACTGTATAGTGTACAGTAATTTTTTTCTCAGCAATCCCCTCATTCCTGATTCCTGTGCTTTCCCCCCTGGCGCCCGGTCTGCAGCTCTCAGCGGTGGCGGTGTTGTCGCCAGCGAGTGGTGGCGGGGGCATCGCAATCCTCTCACGGGGGCACGAACTTCTCGGCAAGCTGCCTTCCAGGAAAGCGCTTCCCCTGCGCATTCCACTAACAGCAGAAGCCCCAGCCTGTTTCATCAGCTTTCCGTTTCTCAAGAACTTCTACCAGCAACCCACTCCTTTCAGAAAGGAATACATTTTCCACAGCCGAAAAACACCCCAGGCCCTCAAGCCTTTCTGTAAACACTGGAATCGTTTAGGCAAGTTTGAACTCTGCAATGTTTAACACCAATCCATGCAACTGTAATTACAGCAGAAATGCAACTCTCTCTCTTCTGTCTCTTTATTGGTTTATTCCACCAATTACATGTTTTCATGACATCCCGGTTCCTGTGCTACATAAACACTCCCGCGGGCCACGTGTCAGGATGGAAGAGTGAAGAGGTCTCATCTCTCTGAGAAACGAGGACAGGACAGAAGAGTAGTGGACAGAATCACTGCAACGGGAGCATCGCTTCATTCCAAGGACTATTTCTCCTCATTTACTGAAATGACAAACTACATGGACTATGTATGGGCTCCACAGCAGCCCCAAGTATAATGGGTCACTTAACTCAGAAGGCTAGCACCTTTACTTGCTACTTGCATTCTGTCTCGGTTCCGTCCTGAAATGAGCCTCAATAACAAAACCTCTTCGGATACACCTCACAAGAAAATCTAAAAGTATTTATTAATTGCTAACAAAAACTGGCCTCCAAAGAATTTGCGTCTTAAGAAATATGGGGCTTCTTTCAAATGTTCAAAATAGGCATGCACGCTCAAATTGTCTTTTGTTTGCTTTTTTGTTGATCAATAACCTACAGCACTGTGCATGATTGTACAGGCGTGTTCACCGAAAACGAGCTGTAGCAATCAAAATCGCCATGCTGCTAGGAACCTATGTTCAACGCTCTAGGCACAGACTGCATTAAGCGCAACACAGATCACCCTGTCAGAAACCGGCAACTGCAAACACTGAAGAAGACTTCCTGATGTCTTTAGTTTCTTTTTGCTAAATTGTTTTTGCACGTTTAAATAAACCTGCAACACACCTTCTCAAGCCTCTCAACTATATCAGTGTGCGCGCTCGTTCGGATAGGCTCAGTACTCGACTTGGAGAGAAAACAAGGGGGAAAAAACCCTCCCTTTACTCCAGGTTCTCGAGACGCTATTGCCAAGGTGCTCTGGTCCTGTACCTGCGTTTTCTGCCAGTACTCCTGAAATCCTCTGCTGGAACAGGGATGACAAGTCTCTGAACATTTCTCAAGTACTCGGCCGGGACCATTCAGGCTGTGAATGTGGGGACACTCGATTCCCACAAAGGATCACACAAGTCACAATTATTCGGGAGAAAAAGACCTGGTGAGAAGTGAAAGCGTATACGGAGGCTCATCAGCTCAGAGAAGACTCACCCTATACTCTTATTCTGAGTATTTTACACTCCCCTCTATTGAGTCTGTAGATCTATGGACTATAATGAGAAACAAACAAACGGTGGACAGCGAAAGGTGTATTTTTAAGCAAGACATCAGACTTTACAGAAACTATGTTAAATGGAGGACTTCGATATTTTAAGCCTGGACATTAAAAATTTGCCGTCTGGAATTTGTGCCTGCGGTGTAAGGCTGAATAATGGTTGTTCATATGTAAAATGGTTTTGTTTTGTTCCGTAAAATAAAATTTAAAAAAAGAAAAATGGGCCATCTGCTTAAAAACAGGTTAAATAAAATCGACCCGATAGAGCCTTTTTTCAGGTAGACTCCACAGACGCAGAGCTGGATGGGAGAATTATCCTCACCCCAAGCATACACAGTTCCTCAAGGAATAGACGTAGTAGGGTTTAATTAGCATGTGCTTGCTGCTCAAGACAACTGCGAAAGGGATCCCAAGACCTGTGCAGCCCAGCTTGTTCAGCTTGCGATGTCAGGACTATGCTGTGCATCCCCACATTAGTGCAGCACCAACTTGTTTTTCCTTGTTTCGTTGCTTTCTCAGGGTTTAACCAATCTGGACAAGGTATGCTTATGACTGCCTGCATTCCCAGTGGAATCCCTCAGGTGTGACTGCATCTGGATAATGTTTGCACTACACAAGTCCTTTGGCAAAGGATCTGAAAAACTAAACATACAATTCAACCTCAAAGAACAAATATAAGAACCGAATTAGTTCATCTTTCACTAGGGTAGTAATACCATCCAAAGACTCCAATGAACCCATGTTCTCTTAGAGCCATAACATTTTTCCTTCCTGCAGTACATAATAGCACTTTAGAACTGAGTACACTGATGTAAAGTGTACTCCTTCACATATTTTTTTTGCCTTTATGAAACCAGGAATATCCCTTGTCGAAACATACTGCAGTTTGGTTTGTGCCCCGCGATTAAAAAGAAGATGATTAACACTCCTCCACAAAGTAATGTTCATGTTTTTCTGCACACACACGTCTTGGGCAATCTACTGGTTGAAAGATACAGGATTTCAGGAACAGCAATTATTTGTGAAAAAACTGCTCAAAATTAATCCCGTCTGATGAATTGAGTTGGAACAACAACTGTACAGCTGTATAATTTTAGACAGTCTCAATGTACTGCACATTTTTTTCATTTTTAGCTTTATCCATAAACCCTGGAAGATGTATATTATTTTACTGTGGGGGTTCACTTAAACTACTCTACCGGATTGAAAACAATCTACACCACTTTTAGACATGAGGAATTATTACTTATTAGTAAATTAGCCTTTTTTGAATAAATCCAGAATCGACATTTTGTTTGTGCCTCTAGTTGATGGAACTCCACAGCCGCACACAGGAGAGAATGAGGAAGTATGGGCACTCCTCCAAGCCGCTTGGGATGGGATCAGAGGCGCACCCCTCACCCACTGGCGCCGTTTACCGAGAGCCAGGAGAGCCCTGGTCAGGTCCCCCCATCTCCACACTGCCTGCACCCCAACAACTGTGCCTTCCCACTTGTGGAATCTGCTCACTGTCAGCTATCGTGCTCGAACCCACGACGCCCGGGATCACACTGCTCAAGGCGCCCTCCGACGAGTGCTGGTACTTCTTCTGTAAGGACTTCAGGACGTTCTACCCTGGTTTGATGATGGAACTCTTGAAATTCTTGTAAGACAGTGTTTTTTCAGCGGTAACGGACATAATTACAGACATAAAAGGTCCGTAAGAAATAGGCTAGCAGCGTGGAAGGGAAAAGCAGTCTAAAAAAGGGTTAACCACTTTGATCAACAATTACCACAGAAGCAGCCCTGGCTCCACAGTAATAATCCCTATGCTACAGCGCATAGTTTCATAATTAATGTAGATACTGGCTACTCTCCTAGAAAATATGCACCTTTTTTTTTTCTCTTCTCTGGAATATTTCATCCAACAAAAACAGTGGACCTGTGTTAAATTTGGCAATAGAAATACATCATGGTTCTCAGGTAGGACATCGCTGATCTCTGTTCTTTGTGGGAACTGAAAGGACCAAGATAGGTAGCAATTTGGCATGATTCAGAGCACTTCACAGGCAAAGAGCTCATACTTAAAGAGGTCCTTATTTTCCCCAGCTTGCCAGCCTGATAAAGAGCTAGTTAAGATAGCTATATAGATAACAGTTCTCAACCAGAGAGACACCCATCTTTAAAATAAACAACCCACCTTGTAAGAGCATGCTATCTAAAACAAACTAAAAGCTCTTTGAAATGAAGAGCCCCTGCAGCAGACATTCTTCGGCCGTATTCCTGCTGCGGTGCTGTTCTTGGGCAGCCGGATTGCCGCGCGTCAGGAAAAGGCACAATATCGGGGCACAGAGCCAGGCCTCAGCCTCTGAGGGAGCGCTCTACATGAGCACAACTGATTCCGTGTAAGAACAGAAGCACCAATGAGTGGCACCCGTGCCCAGAACCCCTCCCTCTCTCCTACAATACTGACCTGAGATTTAGGGGTCAGCGTTCGCTCTGCGGGAAGGAGCCGTGAACTTCCAAGTCCAATGACACCAACAGGGAAATTTATCTCCCATGTCTGCTTTCAAACCCTTTGTTTTGTAAAGCACATAGTTGCCTCTAGCAAATATGTAGTTGCT